CTTGAGTTTTGCAAGGCCAGGGTGTCCCTTGCTGAAGACTTTTAAGAATGACTTATCTAAGACAGGGAGCAGTGTATGTAAATGGAGATTCACAGCCAAAGCCAGAGATTCAGTCAAGAAATGTTATTTTCTGAGCTGTACTTCCTATATGTGGCCAGGGCAGGAAGGGTGATGGAGCTGTGCATTTCCTGAGCCTGTCAGGAGAAACATCTCAGCCCGTTCTCCAACAAACTGCTGTGGCTCTGCTTCCTTAGGTTGATCTGACAGCAGTCACCAAGACTGGTCATTCCTTCCTGCACTTCTGGGGGGAATAATGCATGCAAATGTATTCCCAAAGAGCTTCAGATATTAATTACATCTTCAAATTGGGCTTTTTTTTTTTCTTCTCTCTCCAGTAACCAGGACTGGTTTGTTTATTTCTATCTTCTTCACACCCCACATTCACCACTGTGGCATCTCTCGATTTTGAGCAGACGGAATCACTCATGAGGGTGAGGCACTCCCTGGTCTGAAGGTCACCAGGGCACCATCAGCTTCAGTTTACACGTCCCCAGTTATGAAACCCTGAGCACTCGCAGCAGCTGGAGGCACTGGCTGCTGGCAGTGAGCTGCAGTGTCACAACATCCCCACGGCAGCAGCACCGTTGTAACCACAACCTCCAGCTCACCATATTGCATCCCATAAAACAGAGCCTCAGAGCACTCACACCTCTTTCCACTGAAACACTTTCTCCTGGCTTTGCTGACCTGGTGAGGTACTGCCTGAAGGCAACAGCGTGGCACAAACAGACCCAGCAGGTCTGGTACTGCCCAGAAACAGCTGGACAGCCAGGGACAAACAGAGCACGTGTAGTCAACAGCAACAGATCTTTCTTATTGCAGAACACACAAACTGGCAAAGTGAATGAAAATCCTACAGCCTTAGAGGTGTTCCTGCAGCCAACACTGCCATCCAGATTAGGGAACCAAAACGACTGGAAGTGGGCTTAGCCCAAAACCAAACTATAACATGCCCCAAGCTAAGCAGGCCACTGACTCTGCTCAGCATGTACGGCCCCATCAGAGACTGTGCTTGCAGAAGCAGGCTGGGGGGAAAGGCAGCACTGTCCTTCAGTCTGGCAGGAGCCTGGGCTGCTGCTGCAGGTCAGGCTGTAACCACAGCCTCAGCAAGTCTGACCTGCAAAAGGCACACGTGAGAGCTTGACCCGGTCAGGAGCCACGTCCTAGTGCTGCACCCTGTGCCTTCTCTGTCCTCAGCATGTACAGAGCGGGAGCTGGAGCACTGCACACCTCCAACACTCCCCTGGGGACTGCACACCTCCAACACTGCCCTGGGGTTCAGTGAAAGGAAGTGGAGAAATCCAAGAGAGAGGAGAAAGTTGTTGGACAGTGTGATTAAGTAAAAGACATCTAAAGGACACAAAGCAGAAGAAACCATTTGGGGTTTTCCACCATGGTTAAGGATCTTCCCCTTCTCAGTAACCCTGTGTGAAGTCCAACTGCTGAGAAGTTGCCTTTAGATGCTGCTTTGGCCTGAGGATGACGTGTAGGGACGGTGGAGGTGGCTCTGGCAGCACAGGGTCAGTGCCCTGCCTCGGTGCAGTGCACACAGGCAGCTCTGAGAGGCCACATGTGATCCCCAGCACACACTATTTCCTTGGAGTCTCCTCCTCAGGCATGGTTGGGGTCAGGACAGTAGGTACTGCTGCTGTGGGTCACAGCTGGGAGAGTCTCTGCTCCCCAACATTGCAGAAGTGACCTTTAAGAAATACATGAAAATTACGGGTGTGCTTTCATGCACTCACATGACACGTGGGGCAACAGTTCAGGAGATAAAGCAGGTCAGTAGCATAGCCACAGCTGCCCTGCATCAACCACACAGTTTGGCTTCCCCCCACTACAAAACAAGGAGACTTCACCCATAAGACAATTCCAGCTGTACATACCTTTTTAAGAGGAACTGTACTTCTGAACCAGTTGTAGTCAGGAGAGACTTTAATCTCTCCCATGATGTTTAGAAAAACCTCAGTCTGGGTCAGCCTGCAAAAGAGAAAGTGAGAAATCAATACAGCAGCTTTCCCGTGGGCAGCACTTGAAAGCTGTGCTGTGGATATAAAGCATTGCAGGGGGATTTGCTCTTATCAGTTGATGGCACTACCTCTGACTCACACCAAGTTTACTTTTGCTCAGTTTTCATCACAAACCATGTAATTATTCCCCCAAGAGGCAGTCACCTGACTGCCTTACTGCACCACCCTAACTGTGAAATGATGACGCTTTTGTAACAGCATCCCCCTGGGACAGCTGCAGAGAAACTCAATTGTGTTGCAGGCTGTAAGTGGCTTAAGGCCTTAAAGCAGGTTTTTGATTTGTTTTAAATTGATAAAGCACTCCAGATTTATAGCTAATAAATATTCATCCAATTCACTCAGCAGCTCACACCACAGACATTATTTCATGTCTCAGTATTCAGATCACGTCCTTCCATCCGAGTATAACTGACCCAGAGGAGTCCCAGAGCACATCAGGAACATCATCCGATCCGAGGCTTAATTTACAGAAGGTTCCTGAAATTTCAATTCTATCCACACAGAAGCAGACTCTTGTCAGGAGTTACCAATGAAGAGACCTTTGAAACGCAGCAATTAATACATTTGGAACAAACTGATTCAGAGTTGGGGCCACACAGGAATGCTACTAATTCACTTCCCAGTCAGAATGTCCAAGCACACATAATGAGCATCTTATAATACTCCATTAATTAGTAATAAACACTGAGGTAACTCCAAGATTTAACTCTTTTTTTTTAAAGCAGCTTAAAAGAGACCATTAGCTTCCATTTATACAACAAATAGCATCAAACATTTTGAAGCTTGGAGACTCAATAGCTTCACCCTGAAAGCCAACTGCCTCAGGAGATTATTTTCATGCATTCACACACAGCACTGAGCATAACAAAACAAAGAAACTTTTGCTCTTGTTACTTAACAGTTGCCAAGCCTAAATCAATAGGTTTTGTTTCTTAATTCTTCATAAAATAAGACCTCGTTGTGTTCTGTGAGTCACTGCAATTCATTTCTCCCTGTAGGAGAGCTGCCGGTGGGCAGCTTAACCAGCTTAAAGGGTTACAGCTGGATTAACAGTTAGTTACAATTTCCTCATCTTTCAGTCTTCATTTGCCACGTTCCAGGTGCAGAAAACATGAATTTTAAAAGGGGAAGTACCTTCTGAATTGCAAGACAACACACACCTTCCACAGAGCACGAGCTACACCTCTCGTCCAAGGGTTTCAGGTGGGGAGTTCACCTGTGTGGTGAATTTGTAGTTTCGTTTTGGTGCTTGCTCCAATTATTTTGCTCTCTATCACAGTCTGGCAGCAGGTAAAAGTACAGCAAAAGTGAGAAATACCTATTTCCAAAGTGGAGCAGGTGCAAGGACGCATTACTGGACTGGGGGACAGCGGATCACTGGAGAAAGGAAGCAGCGGTTCAGACTAATTCCTCTCCATAACCACACACCAGTGGCTTTCTAAAAGCTGTTTAGCAAACAACAGCGTGACAAAGTTGTGGCAGACATAAATTACAGGAGATGCCTTAAAACACACATTATCTTGGGAGTGTTATATTGACAGGGCCAAGAAGCAAAAGTCACGGCCAGGGACTGCCTGGACACGGAGGCGCCGGAGAGGGAGACTTTCTACTGATAATTCTGCCTGCCAGAAAGGGTTGGCAAATCTCTCCCCCTTGTGATCACCTCCCTGCTTCTGCCCCCTCCGTCCTTCAGCACCATTAAGGTGATTCTTGTGGGTTGGAAGCACAAAGCTGTGTCATTACACTGGGTAAGGAAAGGCTCCAATGCAGGTGAACTTTGTCCTGCACCTGCACCTCGTCTCACGCCATAGTGAGTTTAGAGTCCACCTGAAATCTAAATTTTGAGCTTCGCAGCTCACCTGTTATCACTTGTAGAAGTGAACCATTGGCCTATAACACTTGGGCTGATTTTCCCCAGGTTCCTTATAAAGATGCATCTGTGCCCACCACTCCTAAGGGCTGCCCCTCTTTTCAGGAAAGAGGAAATAGTTTGTCTTTGATTAAAGAAGTTTTTGCTGATATCCTGTTATTGAAATGTTGTTTGGTTTTTTTTCCTTTGCCACAGAAATGCAGCATTAAATTTGCACACACAAACACTCATGTCAACAGCAACACATGCTTTCCAGCTGCAGAAAAGCTGAACCACAAACTCGGCCACTAAAGGTAACTCAGACCACAAAGAACCGACCAGGCTCTGAAGACCCAATTTTCATTTTTAGGAAAACCAAACAACCCGAAGAAATCTTATCTCCTAAAAACAACTCCCCTACAGGAATGACAAGCAGTTGGGAATGCTCTCCTTGTGAGTTACCTCACCACACCAATGACATGCTCCTTTCATTACTGATTTAGAAAGGCAATGAGAAAAGATTTACGGGTAACTGGGGCACGGCCGCAGCACCTTCTCCTCTCCCTCAGCAACACTCCCATCCTCTGCTCCATCCCCATCTCAGTCACACTTCCCCCCCCCAGCTTTGCAGGGGAAAGGAGACAACTGCCCACTCAGCACCCTCAGCGTGGGCTTCTCCCCCCCGCAGAACCCTGAGAGACCCCCGGAAAATTAACCCCAGGGCGGGGTTGACGGGCCGAGGCCCAATACTCTCCCTCAGGGGTCCCTCCAGAGCTTAAAACACACCCCCTGCCCCTGCAGAGCCCCGCGACCCCCCTGGCACAGCCCTCAGGGAGTAACACGTCCCAAAACAATGAGAGAGGTGCCCGCGGCACCTCAGGGCCCGCCCGGCTCCTCAGAGCCCCCCTGAGAAATGAGGGGCAGCAGGCCCGTCCCACAGCGACGGCGGCAGACCCCCACCTTGCCCGGTCGGTGCTGGGCGCTCACCGGGCTGGCAGGGCCTGGTGAAGGATGCCGGACGAGGCGCAGGACAGGGATGAGGATGAAGATGAAGAGCCAGGATGAGGACCGGGATTTCCCCCCCAGCCCCGCGCGCGCCGGCCGGGGGCACGCGCCGGCCGCCGCTTCCGGGTGCGCCCGCGCCCCCCAACGTGACTCCCGGTGGGCGGGGCGGGGGCGGGGGCGGGGCCTGGGGCTCTCGCGTCGCCATCGCCGCCGGGGTGGGAGTCACGTGCCCGCCCTGTAATTCCAGTGGTGAGGGGGAAGGGACTGTAAAACTTAATCATTCCGCCCCCGGGGGCGCCTGACACTATCCCAGGTTGCTCCGACCTGGCTTTGGACGCTCTCAGGGACGGGGCAGCCACGGCTTCTACGGGCAACCTGTTCTCTGACAGGTGATACTGAGTCATTCTTCTTAATGACCGGGCGGGGGTCAATTAGCTCCGTTTAATTGGTATGTGATAAACAGGTGAGCTGAAACAGACCTATAGTGACCTGCCGGTTAAAGGTGCGCTCTCCGTGAGACGTGCCCAAAGGATGCGCTTCATTAGACAATATATATTTATATGTATTTATATACCCTGCTTGAAAATCACCCCACGACACAGTGCATCATTTTCTATCCACTCCTAAAATCGCTTCGTTTTGCCTGAAGTTTTCCACTCTCCGTCTCAGCTTGATATTTCCACGAAAGGTTTTTTAAAAAATTACTTCTGCGGTCCAAGGGAAATACTCCTTTCATGTAGTGTATAGGAAGAAGAATAAAAGCCAGGAATCACCTGAAATAATAGGTGTTTTGGGACGATAGAGGGAGCCGCGGGCAGACCGAGGCAGTCGCTCGCAGACTACATCTCCCATGACACCCCGCGGCGCGCCCGCGCCCACTCACCGCCTGGACTACATCTCCCATGATGCCGCGCGCGCCAGGCCGGCTGCCTGCGGGCCTCCGCGGCGCGCGATGGCCGCTGGGAGCTGCAGTCCCGCGGTGACGCGCTAGGCCGTGTCACGGAGGCGGGAGGGGGGGGAGTTACCGGGGCGGGCGGCGCCGCCAGCGAGGCCTTGTCGGCGGCGGGGGGAGCGCGCGCTCGCCATGTCCTGCCACAGCTGCGCCCGCCGCCGCCCGCCTGCTCGGCTCCACGCTGCCTCCGCGCCGCCAGAGGTAACGGCCACCCGCCGCCCCCGACCCGCCCGCGCCGCGCCCGTCCAGCCCGGGCCGCCGGCCCCGCGGCCCTGAGGGGCAGCCCCGGCCCGCGCTGCCCTTATCGCGCCCTGGCGGCACCGCGGGGCGACTCGTAGTCCCTCCTGTTAATCGTTTGCTGATGCAAATGCCTGCGTTGTGCGATGCGAAGCTCCTGGGGGGTTGCCCTCGCTGTGGGAAAATGCGTTCTAGAATAGAGTTTGTATCGACAGAAGTGATGCTCGGCAGCTGTCGGGGGGAGTGTGTTACCCCGTGGTGCGAGTAAAGGAATTTAATGAGCTTAAAATCGCTTTATTAGCTTAATTGGTTAAAAGCCTACCTTTTCCGCAGCCTGAACTTGAAATGTTTCTCATAAAAACTTGGTTTCGATGGGCGGAAAGTATTTGTTTAGTTCCAGCTTTGTAGAAGAGAGACTGTGCAGACCACTCGCTGGAAGCTGAAGTGGTGGGAGGATGTTGGTTTTTTATTGGTTTTGTCCTTTTTCTGTTGAAGTGGTGGGAGGCTGTTGCTTTTTTACTGTTTTTGTCCTATTCCTGGCGTTCTTGTGGGTACTGAGAGTTGACAAACCATGAGATGCTTTGGGTGAAAGGCAGGCACCCCCCCCAAAACTGTGGCCACATTTGCGTCAATATTTTGAATTATTGGACCCTTGGCAATGTCCTGGGTGAGTCAGAGATGATTTGTTGCCTTTGAGAGGTGGGTTAAGTCGTTGTAGTTGACTTTACATCTCAAGACATCACCTGTGCTGGAAGGTTTAAAACAATACTTTCAACCCCAGCTTGTCCTTATGTAAACCCACCAAAAAGTAAACTTTAAAACAAGTAATGTTCTGGTTTTGCTTCAGAATTATATTTTTTTAAATTTGCTTTTTTTTTTTTGTCGGATCTAAGATTTAAGAGGGTTGTGCAAAAAAACAGATGAGACTAAAACACAGGTAGAGAGTAATACAATTGTTTTTGTATCAACTTTCTTTGGAAGTTGTTTAAAAATAAGTAAGTTTTATTTTGGTGCATTTCTTGTAACGAATTGTGTCTTCTGCCAGGTGCTTTATTGTGTCAGAAAGATTTTAGGTGTCAGCACTTTATTTGCTGTTGCTGGTTGGTACAAACTTGAGAGTGTTCAGAATGTGTGGGACAGATGAGCCTTCACTTCTGTCACAGTCTCCCCCTTGCTTTCTTGAGCAATAGATTCTTCCAAGATATCTGAAACTTGGCCCGAAAGTCAGTATTTATTTCATCAAATATCAATTAAAGGTTAATAAGGTGTCAAGGAGCTTCCCGTCACTTCTTAAGGCACTAATCCGAACACCCTGGATTGATTCCAGCTTTAGAGACACATTCTTTAAATTTACTGCTCCAAAGAACCACCTGAGCCACTGCCAGGTGTGTGAGTGAATGTTGGCAGCTGTTACACGTTGGAATATTTACCAGTATCTGGATCATTCAGTGGAAGCTGCCAGGCTGGAATGTTGATTTCTCCTGAAAATCTGCCTCTGGGCTTATTTATGCAAGAAAGTAGTTGTGATAATTTTCTTTCTGCTTCATTCTGTAATTACACAATGATATTTTGTCAAAAAAACACCACTCAGACCTCACAACAAGCACAGGGACGTGGCTTTTCAGCCACAAGCTGATGTAGCAGTAATATGATTTTTTTTTTTCCCCCTGGTTTAGCCTTCCCAGCTCAGCACTCGACACTGGACATGGCTTCATAGTTCATACAGTTCTCAGTGCATTTTCTGTCTCACAGGAGCTCTATGAATTAAAATCAGGTCTCTTTAAGCTGTTTGAGCTTCTGTGTTAGTGCTTCATCTTTTCTCCACAGGCCAAATCTCCCTGTGTTGCAGGAAAGTTGGGTGACTTCAAGTTTTGTTCAGGAGAGGTGAGGTGGTGGTGGTTGTTTTATTTTAAGGGGTCTTTTCTCAATTTCTAAACCAACTCTCACTAAAGGAACCATCTATGAGGAATAAGCCTCCAAGACAAGAACAGCTCTTGCATTGTAAACACTCTCCAAAGCTTATTCTTTCCTGACAAGTGCACTTGGCACAGGGAGCCTTCGGAGTTCTCTGCAGATTCAGTTGAAAGACACAACTGCTTGGGGAAGAGAGCCAATATTTTTAAGTTTCTGTGATGTTTTCATAGTTTATCCTGTGTAATCTGGAATGTGTTGCAGTGGCACTCACCAAGGGGAATTAAGGATGGGAAAGCAGACTGATTGTTGTTCCTCCCTCACATTTACAGAAATGCTGTTAGACATCTTTAAAAGATTCATTTTTAGTCACGTTAAAAATAGCTGCCAGTCCTCCTCAGGTTCAGGAATCTTAAGCAGCATCTAAGTTAATAAACCAGCTTCAAATCTCATTTGGTGCTGCTGTTTTGGTTGTGACTTTTCAGAGGCCTGTGAGAGTTTTTCTGGTAACTTTATTTTCCTCTTACAGTAGGTGAATTTTTTTAAGTGTCCTCTTCCAGCTAAGTTTCCACCTCTTTGTTGTCATTGTTGCCTCTTTCAGAGCAAATTAACTGTACTCTTCTTGCCATTCTTTTTATTATTTTTTTAGAATAGTTTTGGAGTTTTCAATAGGCTTCTCTCATCTCTGTAGCAGTAACACCACGTATGATCAGCAGGTCTGTAATTATCGTTGTTGCTGTACAGCTCTGCTGTCAGTAAGGCACAGAGTCCTTATCAAAACCAGAGAGCAAGTGAAAATTTGCCTCTTTAAATGAGAGAGGTGAGATATGGATTCCAGGCTGTTGTTGGTGTTGAAATCACAAGCACAACATATGTTGGTTCACGTCACAGCCATGAAATGCAATCCTGCCTGTGTTGCAAGAGGAGGAAAAGGCTGTTTAGTTTCTCAATGAGGTTTTTGTTTTTCATGTTGACTGTAAGGTATCTCAGCAAAGTTAAGATTATGCCAGCTTTGCCTTTGCCAAGTAGGACACGGCCTCTCAGTTTTCCTCGGGACCAGTTTGTTGTCAAGTGGTGCCTCAGATTCCTGGAAACGAGTTTTTAGGAGAGTTCCCAAGCAAAAGCCAAATCCAGACATGCGTTCACCGAGTCCGAGACACCCTTTTGGCAATTTTTGCATAATAAAGAGACACTTCAAAGGTCTCTGTCTGACTTCAGGGGTTGAATTATTTCACAATAAATGCTGTGAGTTGGTCGTGTTTATCATTCTGAGGATCAGTTTCATAACTGGGATGTTCCCTATTTCATGCCACAACGGGACTCTCCATTGTCTGACGTTAGAGGACCTAAAATTACTTTTGGGTCATTTTTGGACAATCCAGGCAGCTTTAATTGAGATGAACATTAAGGTGGCGAAGAGGATTTATTTTGGATAATTGAAATGTGAGTGTTGTGTTGCCAAAACCTTTGAGCTGCATTTAATGTAAATACGTTCTGGGAATTGGGTGGCATCGGGATTAGAACTGGAGGGTTTTTTAATGTTTAACTTCTACGTTTCTTTTTCAGGTATTACGTGTGGTCGTACACGCATCCCTGTTTTAGGAAAACTTGGGACTTTTGAAACTTGTTCCCTAAAACGAATTCCTCTTAGGAACTTTTCAGAAACACCAGCATATTTTGCTTCAAAGGATGGTGCGAGCAAAGATGGTTCTGGAGATGGAAACAAGGTAAGCTTCACAAATTGAGTTTTTCAATAGTTTATGTAAAACGTTCCTTACATTTTTTTAATTGATTTTTTTTACTTAGAATTATCATGACATTTCTGCCAGCTCTTGACATTTCCAGTCCTTCAAAATGCTACAACTGGCAGTGAAGAAAAGATAAATTGTGCTGTGAATTTTTTAGCAGAAAAACCTTATAAACATCCCACAACGCTTTTCCCAGTTTTATAAATCTTTTTACCCAGTGTAAAGAGACACTTGAAAACTTTATAGAATGTTATAAATCCACAACGGGTTTCAGGATCTCAGGAAAGAGTAGCCATCAGAATTATTCTCCTTCAAAAACCTGCTACTCCCAAGTAGGCTTTTTAAAGTAAGTACACTTTAAAATGTTTGTGTTTTTTTAGCACCGATTTGGGAGTTGTGTTAAGCAAGACAAGTCTGTGAGGACATGAGCTCTATTCTTGTTAGTCAATTATAGTCTGTTTTCATCCTAGTTGTTCTCTATAATTATAGTTAATAAACAGCTTCTTTAGATAAATGATTACCTGAGAATAAAACTGCTCTTTAGTCAGCAAATAACATTTTGAGAGTTCACAGACAATAACTTTGCCTTAGTATGGTGTGTTGTGATACCTGAGGAATTGTCCAGATGGCACAGTTGTGTTCTGAAGGTTTAGATTCAAAAAAACAAATAAAGAAGATAAAAAAATTTTAATTGTATTTTTTTCTTGCAAAGGGTTGTGAGGAGAAATGAGTAGGCAAGCAAGGTTTAAACAATGGGGAACTGCCTTAGAAAAGGGAAGAGAGATCTTTGCTGTTTCCTAAAATATAATAACTTTCAAGAATCAAAGTATGAAGGCATAGAACAGATGTAGATTTTAAGAAATTATAACCTTGAACACCACTAAACAGGGTAACATGCAGAAAGACAAGTAGGATTCTGCCTTAGAAGTAAAAAATACAATATTTCCAAGCAATTTGAGATGCTCGTTTTAGCACAGATGTAGCATGGCTACACCTGTCGAGGGTGTGAGAAGAGCTGTGGCTTCAGAAACCCTTAGAATCAACACAGTTGAGATAATAAAATTACTCTTTAAATGAGATTTGTTTTCTTCTCTGGCATTAAAACATTAAAATACACTATTAAAACATTCTTGGCACAGTTTACCTTGTTATTGCTCTAGTGCCAGTCGAGCAGTTCTGATGTAGGTATGGGATACCTTTTTCTTGGGCATCCAAAACTGGCAGACCTGGGAAATTCAGATGTGTTCACACTTCAAGGTGTTTATGTCATGTTCCTCTGAGTTTTCAAAGCCTTTAAACCATCCTGACAACAGTTATTTCATCATTCAGCAATTGCAATATTCAGGTTATTTGATTCCATAAGCACCATGTGAAATGCCTGCTGTACCAGCTCCATTGTTTTGGGGATAATTGTCTGGAAATCTCTTTTAGAAATCTGTTGGAGAGGGTGGGAGTAAAAAGTCAAGCTCTGGAAACTCTGGGAAAGGAGGGAACCAGCTGCGCTGCCCGAAATGTGGTGACTTGTGCACACATGTGGAGACCTTTGTGTGTAAGTCTAAGTTTTATCCTACCTAATTATATGATGTCAGAAATCTTGTTATGCTTAGTTTGGCTCTGTTGGTGTAATCATTTATTGTCTCTGTGGGTACATTTGTGTTATTCCTATGATATGTGGGAATATTATGGTGGAATTCAGATTGTAACTGTGAATGTGCAGTTCTAAAATAGTTTGCTGCTGCATAAACAATACCATTTGAACTACTAATACTTGTCTCTGTCTATTCTATAAATATATACTTGTATATATGTACATTTTTAATGTCTGTCCTTTCTTTCCTAAATAATAAAACTTTAATCCTGCATGTACTATAACCAAAGTGCTTATCCAGCAGAGGAATTAGTATCTGACAGATGGCTTACTAGAACAGTCTTCTATGGCAAAGTCAGATCCATACAGAAGGCAAACATTCCAAACAGAAGGCAAACTAGAAAATCCAAAATGCCTGTTCTCCAGCAGCAATAGCTACTCTTTTTTTGGAAGTATAATCCAAATTAATGCCAGTTATGCTTTAGGGTCTGTCAGGCTTGAAGACATTTCACCTTATTTCAGCACTGCTGAGACCAGCTTAGAAAACAGCTGTCAGAAAGCAAACACCCATTGTTAGTTGGTGGGGCTGAAGGAGGAAGTACCAAGTCATAATCAGACTTGTGCACTAAGAAGCTTAAGACAAGGTCAGCATAAACGTGTTCAGCAGTTGTTCATATCACAGCTGGTGAAAACAATGAGGGGATGTGCTGTTATTTGCTGCTACTCATTTAAAATGATCTAAAATCATGAATCACACGGCAATTCTGTAATAACAGCAATGTATTTATTTATCTTAAAGGATCAGGCCTCAGTTTCTTTTTTTTTTTTTCCCCCCAGAAACAAAGTTGTTTTCCTGGTTTGTTTGAAACTATAGGCAACAATGTGCTCTGCAAAGTCTGGGCCTAGTCCATGGAACTAGAAATACAATCCTGTCTGCTGTTCAATATGCTGGTCTCCCCCTGGACTAGGTGTGGTTGGAAACAGTGGAAGGATTTTTAAGCTCATTTACCTTCTATGATTCATGAACAGGCAGAGTCATTTTGAAACTCTCTCACTTCCCTGGTGTGTTGCCCTTGGTGCTGGAGTTCGTGCTTTTATCTGGAAATACCATTCAGGCATTGCCCTGGAACGATCACTGCGTGTCCCTGGAAAGCAGAGATGTGGTTTATTATATTGTCAGTGTTGCTGGGAATATTTAAGCATGCTTAAAACTTTCTTAGGAAGAGGATTTATTCATACTAACATTATGGGAGAAAAGGTCTGATATATACAATCTAAAATTCATTTGAATTGCAGCATCAAAATGCACAGGTTCTGTAAAGAGCTTGGGACTGAAAACCCACTTTTCTCCAAAATTCCTGTGACTCATGGTGAAGTTTTCTCAGGACCTGTATCTTTCTGGTTTAGTCTGTTAATTTGAGCACACTGCTTTCTAGGCAAACTGCATAAAGCAGCTGGAAAACAGAAGAGCTAAGTTCTAATTATCTTAAAAACTATTTGAAAAAAAATAAACCAGAAACGAATCAGGAAAAAAAAAAATCTGTCCTGTTCTGCCCAAAATGACTGAGTTGCAGGTTGTATTAAACCTACTGTAACTTGATTTTTTTGGATAAGCTTTTGATGTTGCTTAGTCAGGAAAAAATGATGAATTTACTCAGTTCTGGTTTGAATTACCAACCTGCTGAGGCTTAAGTAAATATCTAAAGCCAAAGGAAAACATGCAATTAGCATTTGTTTCAGTATAAGTATTAGATTTTTGAGAGAAGTAGGGAGACAAAATATTGAATAAAAGCCACATTCATTAGCAAATTAATTGCCATTGAGTGGCAGTGTGACAGGCTGGTCGTCCAGTGGAGTTTGGTTTTGATGGGGCTTCACTTTGTATCTGCAAATCTTGCCCAGGGAATTGCTTGGCAATGGTTTTCCAGTGATTAACAATGAAGGGAAAATGTGATGCAAACAACAAAATCATTTTTCTTTGACCTCTTTTCTCAGCAGTTCCTGTATTGTTTTGGGTCGTGAAAGTCTGTAAGGAGTTTGTGATCAGTGAAATAAGACGTGAGCTCAGATGTAGAGTGAAATCCAATAGCAGAAAAGCTGATTGGCATAAGAAGCTTTATTTAGATGCTGCTTTTACTGTCTCCAACTGATGCCATCAGGACTCCATCCTCCAAAGCAAGACTTCCCTGCCACTGTACATCAGTAGGGAATTAGTTCCCCTGCTTTCATTTTCCTGATGATTTTTTACCTTATAGCAGTTTGATAGTGGCCCATTATCTCAACCCTACGAGTATGTTTAAGATTAATCCTCCAATTGTTTTGGTTTCCTGTGCTGTAAAAACCCAGCCTTTCTCTTCAGCAAGGTCAGCTCACACAGACTTTAGAAATCCCTCTGCAAATGCAGCCTCTGGGGTAATGTTGCCTGATTTGAAAACAACACTCGACTTGCATTTTGGCACACTGTAAATATTTGCAGACCTCTTTATGACAAGGTGGTAATTTTATGTGAAGGTTCTTTGCTGTGCTTTGAAGTGTTTGCTAGAAGAAAATATAAAAACGTGGCAGTATTTAAGATTAGCAAAGTTGCCTGCAATTTTGGATGCCCAGATTTAGGGAGATAACAGTGCTTAAACTTGGTGTCCTTACATTTCAGAGCCAATTTCTCAATTTTTTTTGTTCTGTTAAAGCACATATTGATGCTTTTCCCCCAGACTGCTGTGTAGGTGATAGAAACTGCCCAGTCTCATGTGTTTGATAACAGAGTCTCCTCCCCAAGGCACCCCATACATCAGTTTCTCTACAGACCCTATTGGTCTTGCTGAAAATTAGCAAGTTTATAATAACCTTCCTTTGTGCTGCTTGAAATAATTGATAAGTGTACTCAGTTTTTTTAGTGGATGATGTTTTAAAGATGCACAGCAGTGCTGTTATGGCCTGCTCTTTATTTTCTATTTTTTTAACCATTCCTGTGGGTCTGTAAAGGGAGCAGCTGTTCCTCTGGCTATTCCACCCTAAATAAAGCATTATATAAAGAAGCACAACAGCCTCGTGGCTCTGTAGCCATCAAGAATATCAGAGGTGTTTGGGGTGAGCACTGGGAGAAAGGCTGGGTTGTTTGGGTTTTTTTCCTACAATATTGTAGCTAAATAATAGTTATGTAAGAGGAGTGGCTGCATGCAAGTGGTTCTCCATCCAGGCAGATAAATCATTTGGAAGGTTGCCAGGAGAACTTTCAGGCTGTTACACAAATTTTCTTTGGACTAGAGTTGATAAAGCTGTGATGGTCACAGTATTAGGTGCTTAATTCTTAAAATAATCCATTGTCCCTGCTTATCCAGGTATAAGGTGGGATTAATAGTAAGAAAAACCCCACCCACTCCTCTTTTGCTGATGCCAGCTCCATGAAGGCAACAACACGTTATAAATAAGCAGCTTGTTTATTGCTAGAGGGTGTTATTGTAATCAGCTGGTGCTACAGTGTTCAGGCCATTTTCTAAAAGCCTTTTATGATTTCGGAACTTTGGACATTGAAATGTTTCATGTGGTTGTTTTGCTACATTTACTTTGCTTTTAATTGAATGCATTTACAAATATATTTACTTTAAACCAGTGCCATTGCATGTGATTTGCATTTAATAGCACAGTAATATGGCTAGAAAGGACCTAATCTGAATTGCAAATATATTTTATTATTCTTCTCTGCTGACTATTTTTATTATTTCAACTTTGCTTTTCCAAAGTAAAAGAGAAGCAGTGCAGGTTCTAGTTTTCAGGCTTTTGAAACCACTCTTTGCAGGTAACATGATTTCTTGAGACATAGTTCACAAAGTCAGCGGTAGGAGGGTTTAACTTTTGGAATTTGAAAGAAATTTGTTCCACTGTTGTCAATAAAAATAAATAAGCAGAAGATCTTAGAAAACATCCAAGTCCTGAGGGTCTGTTGCATACCACAGCTGCCTCTGTGGAGCCCTTTGTGTGACCCACTGCGCTCTCTGTCCTGGGCTCGGGTGACTCGAGCCTGACCCACAGTGTTCCAAAGCCAGTGGGATGCAGGACCAAGAGCTGCCAAAGCAGTCTTTGATATCTAAATTAGCTTCACCTCACCTTAGTCTGTCCCTAACCACAATGTTTCTTTTGCTGTTAGTTGGAGAGTTAGAAACAATTTCTGCAAAAAGCCCTCGTTAATTTTGCCTCTCTGAGGTGCAGAGTTTCCTATCAAGTGTAATGCTACTGGAGAAATATCAAACAGATTTTTGCTTTTTAATCCCTTGTTTGGTTGCTGTCTATGTTGTGACTTTTTGGGGCAAACTGTATTCCCTCTGTGTCAAATTTCACAGGCCAGTAATTGCTTTTAAATCTTCTAAGGTGAAGGAAGGGGAAGTGGCTGTGCTGTCTTACAGGTGTTTGTCCTGTGTGAGGAACTCAGTTCAGTGAATGCTGTCAAAACAATTCCTCTCACCATTTTGTTTCACTTTTTCTGCAGCTTCCACCCGTTTTGTGAAGTGTGAGAAGTGTCACCACTTTTTTGTTGTACTGTCAGAGGCAGACACAAAAAAGAGCATCATCAAAGAGCCTGAGTCAGCAGCAGAAGCTGTGAAATTGGCATTCCAGCAGAAGCCACCACCCCCACCGAAAAAGGTACCTTCTTAATTCCTTCTTAATTCTTGTCCCCTTGTACTCCAGCAGGGTGAAATGCTGCACTTAACCCTCATCAGGTGTGTAAAGGGCTGCTGTGACAGAGCAACAAACAATAAAGATGATTAGCTCAAGGTTAAACCTGTGAGAGCTGTGTGACCCAGCAGAGCACTGATAAAGGGAACAAGTAGATCCAATAAAAGTATTTGGGCTTGTTTCCCTCTACCTTTGTCTTGTGACTGAAGTCCAGTACCTTGATTTCCTCCTGGGACCCTGAGAGTAACCTCATCCCTCACCAACCAGAGTATCTTTGATTTCCTGCTACGGCCTCACGTTCTGCATCCTTATTTTATCAGCTTCCTCCTGTAGTTGCAGAGCCTTTTATTTGGCCTGGTTTTGGGTGAGAGCTGTGGCTGCTTAGCTTGTGGCCATGACCCATCTGAAGTCATTTGGTTTCCCTCTCCTGATTAGTGAGGCAGCTTTTGCTGTTTCTCAGTTCCTGGTGGACTGTCATGGTCTCTGAAGCTCCTTGAGAGGCCTCTTTTAAGAAATTAAGTATTCTTGAAATTTCTGTTCCTCTTACAAATTCAGGGGAAAATGACTGTGTCTGTGTATTATTAGGGCAGAACTGACAGACACAATGTGATTGTGTAAGAGCCATGTTTTTTAAGTAAACTTATCAACAGAGAATATATTTTGGTTTTTTAGATATTAAGTTTCTATTTCTCATGTCTGTAATGGTTGGTTTAGATCAAAGTCCCTCTTTGGCACAATATACTGGTTTTTTTTGTTTCTCTGCAAGGTGATTTAGAAGTGTTGCTAAGATTGAGTTATTTTTCAGATTTACAACTACCTCGACAAATACGTTGTTGGTCAGTGTTTTGCCAAGAAGGTGCTTTCAGTTGCTGTGTATAATCATTACAAGAGGATCTACAATAATATCCCAGCTAACCTGAGGCAGCAAGCAGAAGTTGAAAAGCAGACTTCTTTAACTCCAAGAGGTTTGTATGATGTTTGGTATTTTTCGGGTCAAATAAAACTTATCATTTAAGGACCCTAACTTAATAAATCTGAGAAAGGTTTTACCTTGACACTAGATGTTCTGTAAGTGAGATGATCTAAAAGAATTTCTGTTAAATTTAATTTTCACTGTGAACTCCTGTGATGTATTTAAATGGTAATCCAGAAGGTTTATGGTGCCTGGGGTATTGCCTACTATATTAAATGTATAGCCCTTTTCTTTGATACATATTATTAGGTATTCTCCTTTAACTTTCTAAGGCGAGCCTCCTAAATTCTTCTTTCTAATCTCATTTACTGCTTAACAGTAAATCTGCTGCTTAAGCTGCAAGCAACAATGCAGGTCAGGAAGGTGATATTTTGCATAGGTAAATTGGTGAGTACTTAGATTTCTAACCTCAACTGCTGCTGCTGGCAGCATCCAGTGGTCACCATAGTATTGTTCCATATCTAGCAGGTATAGATGGAGTTACTCTTGGCTGTACTTTTCCTACTGAGTAAGTGTGTAGCTATGTTGATCTAATTTATTTTTAGAAGTAGGATTAAGTTACCATCTCTGACTCAAAGTGTGCCTTGGTGAGGTTTTTTTAAGATGTTTTATTCTGTGTTGCAAAAAAAAAAACCATGTTAGGCAAACAGAAATCTTTAATTTTTTTAAATTTACATAAATAAGACTTTAAACTGAGGAGGGAATATTAGTAGCACTGTTGAGGTGATTTTAGGAGAGCAGCTGTGTACCTGGCACCAGGAAGTTCCTGACCCTCCACAGGGAGATAACATGGTGCATACCCAGAGAGACTGATAATGAATGTTTATAACAAATAGTACTTTGAAATATGTAAAGCCTTACATTGTAGCACTCAGATATAAATGGGAGAGTTTAAGGAAGCCTTTTCAAACAAAATTATATTATTGCATTTTTTCCCTTCTATAGGTGATTTTAAAGTGAAAATCTAATCAGAGGTAACAGATCATTACTGTTTTAAGAAGTAGAAAGCTTGGTGTCATTTTAAAAACATGCAAATTGGGTTTTGGGTTAATTTTGACAACAATAAAAACTAGTTCATGTGGGGATTTCTTGCTAGAAATACACTCATAGATAGTGATGAGATGTATTCAGAAGAGGGCAAGAGGTGGAGAATTTATAAGCCTTTATAAACTTATTTTTTTATTACTGTTTTCATCCTCTCTCTTAGAATTAGAAATCAGAAGACGGGAGGATGAGTACAGATTTACAAGTAAGTGAACTCTCTCCTCGTGTCCTCCTCTGCAATACCTCCTCTTGATGTTACTGTAGAATAGTCTCTAGTGACTAGTTTGAAATGCTGGGTAAAATCCAATTCTTGTACTTTTTTCATCATGGAGATCAACAATTTGGGTTTATTTCTTCTCATATGTGAAAAAAATAAAAAAAAATTACAGTTAAAATGAGTTAATTTGTAAGGACTGAAAATTTTGTCTTGTCTTTAAATATAGAGGAGTATTTTTAGGTAATCCACTCTACCATTAGAAATTCTTTTCATATATGCCTGTGCAAAAACATGATTGGAACTCATGTTTTTGTAATAACTGTGCCATATTTCTGTTGCAGTCCTATCTGTAAACTTCTGTACATAGAGAATTAGAGATTTGCAGAACAGATCAAGCTGTTATTGTGTATTTAAGGTAATGACAGACCTTGCTGGTGCTCAAACAGTGCTGTGATTGTTCTCTTCAGAACTGCTGCAGATTGCTGGAATCAGTCCCCATGGGAATGCTTTGGGAGCATCAATGCAACAACAAATGAACCAGCAGATACCTCAGGAAAAACGGGGAGGAGAAGTACTAGATTCACCCAACGACGACATAAAACTTGAAAAAAGTAATATTTTGCTACTTGGACCAACTGGATCAGGTACCCAGCTGCATGTTTTTATAGGTGTCACATTTTTCATGGAATTTGCTCTTAATTGAGCAAAATCTCCTGTGATTATTCCAATTTGGTGTAAAAAAAACTACACTGTGAATTTCAAGCTGAGATTTCACTGCTTTCGTGCCATGTTAACGCACTGAGCTAAGTGGCCTTAAAAAGGAAGGAGCTGTAGTCGTGGTTTTCTTTTTTTTTCTATTTTTAATGCCTATATTTACTGACCAAATAAAAGATGCCACTTTGACGAAGCTGGAATAAAATGCATTTATAGTTTCTCTGCTTTTGCTGGCAAGCTGAGATGCTACAGTTAGAAAGAGTTGTTTCACCTCTGGGACAGATCAGCTGCAGGGGGTTGTAAAGAGAAATTATATTGTGTGTTCATAAGAAGTGGGAGTGTTTGTGCTGAAGTGATGGCATTTTGCAGACTGTTTGGGAGAACATTCACTAAATAATATTTTAATTCTGTTTCTTCCCAACTTCAAAGCAGGAGCAATTGGACTTTGCACTGCACCCTGAGTGTCTGCAAAGGACTACTGATTTATTTAATCTTTAAACTCTGCAAGTACATGTGTTCTGGTTTTTATATTGTGTGGCGTTTTATTTGTGACACTGTATGCATTTCAAGCTGCCTTAAATGTGCACTGTTCAACTAAAATCAGAAATAGAGCTTGCCAATGTAAAAAACACTGATTATGAAAACCATCTCCCTTGTAAAATATTCTTATGTGAATATATGAACATGCTGGCATTGTTCAGAATGTCTGATAATTGCAATGATGATCCTATGGTAAATCCTAGAGTGGTTTGGGTTGGAAGGGGCCTTAAAGCCTATCTCATTCCATGAGCATGCCATGCTCATGGGCAGGGGCACCTTTCACTAGCCCAGGGTGCTCCAAGCCCTGTCCAGCCTGGCCTTGAGCACTTCCAGGAATGGGGCAGCCACAGCTTCTCTGGGCAATCTGTGCCAGGGCCTCACCACGCTCACAGGGAAGAGTTTCTTCCTAATATCTCATCTAAACCCACCCTCTTTCTATTTAAAGCCATTCCCCCTTGTCCTATCACTACATGCCCTTGTTAAAAGTCTCTCTGCAAATATTTGGGTTTGTGTGCTCTTGAGAAATAAATGGCAGTTGTAACATGCAGCTTTTATTTTACCAGGTAAAACCTTGCTGGCTCAGACTCTGGCTAAATGCCTGGATGTACCCTTTGCTATCTGTGATTGTACTACCTTGACCCAGGCTGGCTATGTTGGGGAAGACATTGAATCTGTCATTGCAAAACTCCTGCAAGATGCCAACTACAACGTAGAAAAAGCCCAGCAGGGTAAACTTTTACTGTGTGTTAATTTTGCCCAAGTGCTCAAAACTTTTAAGACCACCAGTATTTCAGTAATTTATATTCCTCTTGCATGTACCTAAATTTTAACACTTTAAATCAGACAGACTTAGACCTCTTCTCAGATTTATTCCATCTTGTACTTTTGTCCTTGTCCATAGTTGGACAAAATGCCTGTGTTTTTACAGTCTACAGTAGGGAAGTAGAACAGTCTGCTGCTGTTATTCCCTGTAAATTCTTGCTTCTGTTAAAAAGTGGGGTCTTCCTTAAATCCATTCTCTGTAACTGCAGGAATTGTCTTTCTGGATGAAGTAGATAAGATTGGCAGCGTCCCTGGTATTCATCAGTTACGAGATGTTGGAGGAGAAGGTGTTCAACAGGTAAATACTTCCCTGGAGTGATTTTTACTTCATAAGTGAACAGCCCATAGAGTGGACATATCCTGTCATATGTCAAACAGCATGGGTATTTATAGTCATAATTCCTCAGTTCCTTAGTTATCACCTTTGAATCCCTCATCTTTCCTCTTGACTTCATTCAAGAAAATAAAAGCAGTCTGAGAGTGGCTTCATTGAAATGCTTTAATTGAAAAACATCTTGGCAGCATTCAGACAGCAAGTTGCATAATGTAGGCAAGATCAGATAACATTTCTCATTTTAACAAAACTCTTAGAGCAACTCATCACTACGTGCAGCTCATAATGTCACAATAGGAGTCACATTAAAGGAAGATTTTTGTCCTTGACTGGGATTCTCATGTGGAAAACTCGTTTCTTTAGACACTTACTGTTACTATAAAGGCATAAGGGAGCAAAAAATGTAAATACATCCGTGAAAGTAAGCACAGCATTGTGTACCCTCTCACATGATGCTACACAGAGGAATTTTTCATTGCTTATTTCTTCTCTCCTTCTTAGGGCTTGTTAAAATTACTTGAAGGCACAATAGTAAATGTTCCAGAAAAGAATTCTCGTAAACTCCGCGGAGAAACGGTGCAGGTCGACACAACAAACATCCTCTTCGTAGCTTCTGGTGCTTTTAATGGTCTTGACAGAATTATCAGCAGGAGGAAAAATGAAAAAGTGAGTGCATCAGGCTGTACCTGAGCTGAAAGATCATCATCTTAATTACCGTTCACAGTACTGACTTCTAAAGGTCTTGCTATATTTGTAGACACACTGGATTTGTTTGTTTGAGCAAATGGTGCTAAAAACTGTCATTATCTTAAAATACCTTGTCATGCAGTTCACTCTTTCATATTTTGGTGTCTGGAGACAGAGTTCTGGCTGCAGCTTTCTGGAAGAATGTGGACCCTGTTTCTAATTTGACTGAAATATTGTTCACGTTAATGTAGATTTTCACATAAACATATTTGCTTGCATTTCCTTCACTTATGAAGTGTCACCAGTATTTGTAAACTGACCAGGACACATCACTAACCTTCTTTATTTTAAGAAAAACTTGCTCTTAGGCTCATGTATTGATCCTTCACTGAGGGTCAATGTTATAAGAAACTGTGTGCAGGGGGTCTAATTTTACTACAAGTGATTTCTTGAGCTTGAATTAATATGTAATGGCATCAGTCAGTGCAGATTTTTTAGTACACATGGAAAGTGATTTATTTACATCAAGAAAACTCAGTTAATGCAGTTCTGTAGCAGAACCATGTTTGTTTTGCAGTATCTAGGATTTGGGACACCATCTAACATGGGGAAAGGCAGAAGGGCTGCAGCAGCGGCTGATCTTGCCAACATAAGTGGGGAGTCAGATCCACAGGAAGATATTGAGGAGAAAGATCGCCTGCTGCGCCATGTGGAAGCCAGAGATCTCATAGAGTTTGGCATGATTCCTGAATTTGTGGGACGTTTGCCTGTGGTGGTTCCTCTGCACAGCCTGGATGAGAAAACCCTCGTACGGATTCTCACGGAGCCCCGGAACGCTGTGGTCCCTCAGTACCAGGCTCTGTTCAGCATGGACAAGGTTGGAATCTTTATTTGATGACTCTTCAGAATTCGTGTTTATAAATACAGTGGTGTTTCCAGTAATGCTTGCACTCAACACACTGAGTTATAAATGAAATTATTAACTGAACTTACCGTTTTTCTCTTTGTAGTGTGAATTAAATGTAACTGAGGATGCACTGAAGGCTATAGCCAGACTGGCCCTGGACAGAAAAACTGGTGCCAGAGGTCTTCGATCTATAATGGTGAGTAAATTAAGTCTTACATAGAGTAAATTAAACTCCCTGGATTTGTGTGCCAATTTTCAGTCAAAACTTCATTTAACTCTAACTCTTATATGGCTACAATAAGTCTTTCTAAAGATTTTCAGAGTTCTTCCAAGAAGAATCTTTACCTCTGAAAATCATTTGCTGGCCATATTGTTACATAGAAGAAGGTGTACAGAAATATTTTCCCTCTGTTTTCTTTGTAGGAAAAGCTGCTGCTGGAGCCCATGTTTGAAGTGCCCAATTCTGACATCGTTTGTGTGGAAGTTGACAAAGATGTTGTAGAAGGCAAAAAAGAGCCAGGATACATTAGGTAAAACCATGACAGAAGTAGCAGAACAGACCAGTAATACAACTAGACAGGTATTCTGATGGGATAACACAAATCCATGCACACAACCTAAAAGAGATCCAATGCTCTGTATATTGTACACAGCTGAATTAGTGCCCATTCTGTCCTAGAGACCTTGGGTTTGTCACGCTTTAGTTTTTAAACAGAAATTTAAAAATAACATATATGAAGTTACTTTAAGGCTTTTATGTGTGTATTCCTGTAGAAATAGCAGTAAATTATAATTGTGACTTTACTGACATTTCTTAAATCGAACTGTTTCCTTCCCCCTAGTTTTTACCACCAAAGTGGTTTTTTGATACAAGCTCCAGGTTGCTGCAGTTTTCTGCATTACTCTTGCAGCAGTGGAGAGCCACAAAGGCACATCTATTGATTTGCTGAACTCTTGTTAAAACAATCAATTTTATGTTGTAAAGATCATGTTATGGTAATGATGTGGAATGCTGAAAGCACTGGACAAATCTGGATTAAAAGGAAACAATTTTCGTGAAGAGCGGATGGAGCAGAGAGAGAATGGGTCAGGTTAAAAACAGGTTAAAAAATTAGTTCCTAAATTTCAGTTCTCAAATCCAGTAATTCTGTCTTGCTTTCTACCCTGACAGTGTTTTTTGAGTGACTTTCTCCTCTGAGGTACAGGTACTCATCTGTCTGTGCTGAAGCTTGGCTCAGCACACCTGGTGTCTCAGAGCATGGTGGGAGTGGAAAGTATTACACTGATGCTTTAAGTGATTTTTTGTAGAGGACCAGAAGTATTAAATTTATTGATTAAATCAAACAGCTTACTGAAAATCAGAAGGTTAATTGAATTCAGTGAGACTGTGTACTGGTGGTACTGTAAATGTGCACAGTACCACTTCCAGATCAGAAGATCTGAACTTTTTCCAGAACTTCTGGAAACTGTTTTTCCCTCAATTTCTAATGTATCTGATCATTTGTTTTAATTCCAGGGCTCCCACTAAAGAGTCATCCGAGGAGGAATACGACTCTGGTGTGGAGGAGGAAGGCTGGCCCCGACAGGCAGATGCTGCAAACCATTAAACACTGTCAGAATGGTCACCTGCATAAAGCTCGCTGGGTTCTTTCCTTACGATTGCCTCTGGATTCAGGCTGATCCTAAAGGACTGGATCTGTCTCAGATACGATACGTGATGAGGAACTTTATCAGCTAAATCAGATCGTGTATCTTATTGCAGCATCACCTTGATTTGATGGACAGTGTGGACTGGGATGGCATAATGCTCAAATATGAATTGTATATTACACTTGTTCAATTAAAATGTATAGCAAATACAGCAGCACCTGCACTGCTCTTGGCAGAAACTAAACCAGCAGCACAGGTGCTGCCAATACTTAGATTTTACAATAATGTTACTCTACAAATGGGAAATCAAAATTAATAATTAGTAGAGGGTGAGTAAACTATCTTAGCTCCTCGTACGGCTCACAGGGGTTTGTTTGGGTCAGTGTTAGATTCCTGCTGGTGTTTGAAACCCAACGGGTGCTGGAGTGACTTGTTACATTGGTGGGGGAGGAAGCCCTTTTGGAAAAACTGGGACACACTTTATGACACTGCTGGGAGATTCTGCTAAAATGTGACACTGGTTTGTTACAGTAATTTAAATATCCAATAATACCGTTCACGTCTCCATTGGGAGTTAAGCTTTAGTCACCTTGGATACTGTGAGAGAAGGTGAAGTCAGTAATTTGCTAATTCTCCAGAGGGGTCAACGAGGTTCCTCGGAACAAGCAGTAAAACCATCTGAATTTGGACGAGAAGTCGCCATAAATTTTTAAATATTAATGTTCTAATATAGTACATTTTGTTTAACGTATTGGAACTATCATGCATCAATTTTTTGGTGCCAGCTATTTGCCCAACCTATCTTATAATGTTAAGAGATGAAAAAAGTAAATGTATAATATTTTTGCTGTAATCAGTAGTGATTGTTCACAGGATACAGTGCTTTTTAAGTTATATTCTCAAATGCTAGTATTGCATCTTGTGGGTTTGTCTTTGATTTTTAGTCTCACAGCAAAGAGATTCTCCCTCTTCTGTTCTCCACCAAAATGAATTCAATCCTTTAGGAAAGTCTTTGTAAAAACACTAAAGGACCTGTATGTTTTTGATTTGTTTCAGGAATTAAAATTGTCGCTTACAACTTTGTTTTGTCCTTTGGTGATAACGTGGACTTGAGTTTCCCTAAAATTTTAACTCACACTATTTAAATAAAACTTTCATCCTTCTTTTCAGTCTAGTGAATGGTTTAGGACAGGAAAGGATACCGAAAATCTATTGACCCTGTTTTTGTTGTTAATTTTTGTCATGTAAATTTTATGTACTGCTCGTTCTTCCCTAGCAGCAGTGTGACATGCAGCTGTAGCCAGGTGCAACAGATACTTCCCTTAGGATTTCAGGGTTTTTTAGGTTAAATGACCCACTAATGGTTCAGAAAAAGCTGCATTTGGATTTGAGGATATTTCTAGAAGCTTAGTCCCCCCAAAATGGGAATCTGTGGTGAATTATCTGTAACTGCATCCTCACTTTCCTTTTTGTAGAGTGAAAAAATATAACAGCTTTTAATTCTGAATCCTTTAACTCAAATCCTTTTTTAAACAGATTGAAAAAAAAAACAAAACAAAACAAACAAAAAAAAAAAACCAACCCACGACATTTTAGGTGAAACTGTTCAACAACTTAGTTTTGAAAGTTGTTTGGAATTCTGTAACCCAAGAACTGTTTTTAAGGAAAACAAAAATGCCGTGTAACTACAGTTTGTACTTCACCTCTGGCGTTTGAATAAAAGCGAATATTCAAGCAGCGAGAGAGTTGTCATCCCTTACGCCATCCCCAGATACTTGAAGTTTTAGGGGTAGTTTTTGAAGGTTAATTTTTTTTAATTAGGCGGAGCTAGAGGCGGGCGGCGGCGGGTCCTCCGGGCCGCCAGGCGGCGCTGCGGCGCCGGGCTGAGGGGGCGCTGAGGCGGCGTTATGGCGGCGCGCTGAGCGCTGAGGGGATCATGGCGCAGCCCCCGCCGTTTCCCGCCCGCTCCCGCCGCCTTTCCGCGCCTTTCCCCGCCGCCCTCCCGGCCCCCTGCCCGCCCCGCGCCCTTCCCTTGGGCCGCGGCGCGCCCTCGCCCTTCCTCCTGCCGCCGCCCGCCGGCCCTGAGTTGAGGCCGGGCGCGCTTGCCCGCCGGGCGGCCCCTACTTGCGGCGGCCCCGCCGCGGTCGGGCCGAGAGGAGGCGGTTCAGGCGCAGCAGGACGAGCTGTGGCTGTCGCAGTTTCCTGCCGCGCGGCGCGCCGCTCCCCCGCTCCGCCGCCGCCGCCCACCGCCGCCAACGCCCAGCAGCGCCCGGGCCTGCGGAAGCGGCGCTGGGGCGGGTGGCCCGGGTGGCCGCACTGTGCCGGGCCCTGCGGCGGAGCGAGGCCGAGGGCGACGGGCCGGGCTGGGCCCGGGGCGCGGAGGAGGAGGCGGCGCTGCGGGAGCTGGGGAGGTCGTGCAGCCCTGCGGAGCCCGGATACCGCGAGGAGCTGCGCAGGAAGCAGAGAGGGCGAGGAGGATTGCAGGAAGCTCGAGGCCAGGCGGCCAAGGAGGAGGCGGCGCGCGGGCCGCCGAGCGGGAGGCCAAGATCGACAGTGGCGCGGCCAAGTGCATGCCAGGAGGTGGAGGAGGAAGAAAACCGGTACGGCCCCGAGCGCCTGGTCCTGCCTCCCCCGGGGGCTCCTGAGTGTCGCTCCGTTTGCAGGGTGGGATGACCAGCCAGTAATGGGGTCGCAGTGGTCTGTGCCTGCCCCACACCCGGCTTAGGGCCCCGCGGGTCAGTGGGTGCCACCGGGGTGCTGCATGACTTCAGCTTTCTTGGAGACATGCCCTTTCCAAGGTCTGCAGCCCTGCTTCTTCCTTGAGAGCCTTGGTGGGCATCTCAGCTTTGCCATGCTCATGTCCTAGCCCTTGACAGTTGAGATTTAAGTTGTTTCTGAACTGCTGGAGGTTTTCCTTTCTGGTCCCAAGTGTCAGCCTGCCCACGCTGCTCACAGCTGCCCTGTGGTGCTCAGCACCATTTCAGTATCCATCAGCCTTGCCTGCTGCTCTCATCCTTCTAAAGCTTGTTGTTTGCAAGCTTTTGGGTCTCACCCAGAAGTAAAATGTCTCCAAAGCAATAAAACCACCTTAAATTAGCCTTCCTGGGAAGTGCTGTAGGCACTTCGGTTGGTTTTTGTGTTGGTTTTTGGCCAAAGAGCTCCCATTCTGCTGGTCTGCTGCTGGGATGGTCCAGAGCAGCTGCTGAGGAAGGGTTTGTGGTCAGATTGTGGCAGGTTAATGGTCTTTAATTGCAGAGCTGTGGAATTGAGGTTGTTTCTGTTCATTGTTAATGTTTTCCCTAAACTTATGTGGTTAAAGGCTATCAGGCTTTATGAGTTCATTAGCTATCCTGGAAGTGTTCAAAAACATGGATGTGGCACTTGAGGACATGGTTTAGTGGTGAGCATGGTGGTGGTGCTGATTTGGCAGTTGGACTCGCTGACCTTAAAGGTCTTTCCCAACCTTAAAGATTCCGTGATCCCATGATTTGGTCCAAATTTATGAGTCCCACAGCACTCTTTTTTGTTTTCTGAAATCTGTGGTGTTTTAGCCTGTTTTTCTTAAAAAGGCAAGGCTGGATGGTTGACTCGTAGCTGTTGCTGAGAAGTAACTGATCTCCAGTGCTTCAATCATCTCTTGGAAAATACCACTTGATTCTTGTCCTCAAGGGATATTTCACACATTATGTCTGTTTTTGTCTCTCACAGGAACGAGAGCTTAAGGCCGCTGCTGACAGTGTCTTGTCTGAAGTACGGAAGAAACAAGCAGACACCAAGAGGATGGTGGATGTCCTGCGTGGGCTGGAAAAGCTTCGGAAACTGAGAAAAGAGGCTGCTGCCAGAAAAGGTGAATTACAAGATTTTCACCCAACTTTTTTTATTGCACACCCAGGAAATAAGATGATGAGGGTGCCCTGTGCTGACTAGCAAGGTGCAGCTTCAAAAAGCCGTGTCTTTGTAGTGGATTTTAGTTACAAGAATAGCTGTAAAATGCTGAATTCACAAGTGGTTGTGTTCCTGTTTTTCCAAGCTTGCTCTCGATAGAACAGTTATTCCGATAAGAATTCCAACTGTTAACAAGGTTAAGCTCATGTTTCTCTGAGATTTTGCCAGCTCTGCTCTCAAGTCTGATAACTAATCCTCTTCTGAATCTGAAAACTTAAAATCACTTCTCTTTCTCTTCAGGTGTTTGTCCACCCCCCTCAGCAGATGAAGCATTTGAAACTCAGGTGGAGAGTCTGAAAACGTTGCTCAAAACTCGCACAGAGCTGTATGAGGCTGAGGAGAGAGCATTAAGGGTTATGCTAGAAGGAGAACAGGAGGAGGAAAGAAAGAGGGAAATGGAAAAGAAACAGAAGAAGGAAAGGGAAAAACTACTACAGCAGAAACTGGAAATGGATTCCAAGCTGTTTGGGGATCCAGGTAAATTCTACGTGCCATACTTAGCAGTGTTTTTCCACACCACACCCGCATCTCACAGACACTGAGGTTTGAAATGTAGGCACAGAACTAGTTGAGAAAGAAATCATCCACTGGAGTAATTTATGGTCTGAGAAGAAGGTGGAATAAACATAGTGTGCTCTTAACACCTGTGGTGTAAGAGGAACAGCTCAGCTGATCAGTGTAGACTGCAGCACATCTCAAGCTGATTTCATACTATTTTGCAAGAGGGGGTTGTAGATTAAGCTGAATAGAGGCTAAATAGAATAGATTGAAGACTTTCAGCACCCAACAGATGCTTTAGTCTGGTGATTTGGTGCGACTCAGGTAATCTGTATAGATTCAGTGTCCATTTGTTCCCTTTCTTTAGAAGATAGAGGCAGGAAAAGTTTTGATAGTCTTGGCTTTCCTCTGACAGCTCTGGTACAGACCAGGAGACGAGTAACATGTAACTAGTCCCTAATATATTACATAGGGACCTGATTTCAAGTTACAGCTGGGCACTAGCAAATGACTTAGCAAATTTGGGGCTTCTAAGACTCACTAGAATCAAAGGTTTTTCTGGATTATTGAACAATTTCTGTTTCTGTGTTTTTACAGCTGAATTCCCACTCGCCCATCTGTTGCAGCCCTTCAGAGACTACTACTTACAAGCTGAGCATTCTGTAGCAGCTCTTATCCAGATCAGGTAAAAATCTTTATTTTTTTGTCAAAGATGACAAATACTGTTTGTTGAGATTGTAAAATCAGCATCCCTTTTGGTTTGTCAACTTCCAAATTTGGTTATGCAATAGTTTGTACTGGTTTTTTTCAAGCTTTTTGCTTGAGTCATATCCAACAGATGCCCATGTGAGACAGAGTGCACTTCATGCATAACTATTGCATTTAACAGCAGTACAGTTGATTTTTACGTTTGTCTTTTGACAGACAAGTTTCAGAGTACAATTTATAGTGGTTTGTGTATCGATCAGTGTGGAAAAACACTTCTGTGGGTATATTATAAATCTTACCAGCTGTCCTCTCAACACTCTCTGTTAAAGGCATGAATGGGATCAGTACTTGGTGCCAGCTGACCACCCCGAAGGAAGCTGCATCCCTCCAGGATGGGTTCTCCCCAGTCTCCCCACCAATGACACTTGGGCCACTGCTGTCAGATGATTTAGTAATAAATTGTGTTAACGTTGGAGGATTGTTTCATTAAAATTACATGTGTTAAATATGAGAGGGCCCGAAGAGGAAGTCTCATCCTCTCTTTCAGCAGCCAGGTACTGGAAAGTCTTTACTGGAATGTCTTGAAGAAAAGTTTTAAGAACTGTTTTTGCTGTCTGACTGTGCAGGGAGATATCTGAGCAAGCCCAGAGCTGCCAGGGCTCTCGTGGTGTGGAATTACAGTCCCGCTGTGAGTTTTTGTTAAATCTGAGTCTTAATAAAGGAACATTGCTGACAGTGGTATTTGTGCCAGTATTAACATCCTATTTTTAGTGGCTTTTATCTTTATAGAAGATGATGAAATCTCCAGAAATAAAGAAATACTAAAATATATATCTACCCCATTAGTAAACATATTATTCTTCTTAAATGAAGCATGTCAAGTATCACTGTCAAAATAGTTCCTGTATTTTTGGGTGTAGAAACAACTCTATTACAAGTTTGAAGTACAAACAAGACAAGGTTTTTCAAGGTTGATTAAAGCAGCTGTTGACATTTTACTTTTGTGGACTAAAACTGGTACCACAACATGGAAAAAATTCCCAGCTGTGGTGAAATAGGTCAGACAGCCATGTGAATAGACACAAATTTGATGAATAAGCCTGCTGGAAAAAAACCCAATAAAATCTGAAGTCTGTCCTACTGTAATTGTTTTGCCTATATAGCTATTTTTGTATAAGGACACATCATGTCTGTAATATTTGATTACAAAACACAGCTCTATTTTGTAAGTTGTTTTTTTTGTACAGAATAAATAGAGAAAAATGGATATTTTTTTTTTCCATTTGAAGCACTTTTACAACGAGGGAGAGATTTGTTTGAATACTTGGCATCAAATACGACTCCAACATGGAGAGAATTGCTGGGAAAAGGTTTGTGTGAAGGAACTTCTCCCTCCTGCAAGGTGACAGAGGCATCTGATGTCAAAGCCGTCCGTGTTCTGGACAGTTTGCTTGTGACAGTGATGGGCCATATGGATTTGGGGCTTTGCTGGGCTATGCAGATGGTCGTGGCACCTTTCCAGAGCTGCAGACCTGATTCTTGCTTAGCCCCAGTGTGTGGGAATCGAGTTAATCTCTCCAGTGCTTTTCCCCTTGGCGTCACAACAGCGCGTCATCCATGGAGGAGGCGACGTCATGGCCTAAATTCCACACCTGGGCCTTATGTGATATGTTAATAGTTTATTGGCTGAAGCTTTGCACTGGTTTCTGTTAGTAAGAGCACACAACCTAGTAGTTTTTAACAGAATTACTGTGAGTGCAGAAGTTTGCAGTTCTTGCTCACCTGCAGCACCCCAAAATACAGATTACCAGGAAGTCCTTTGGAGGTGGAGTTCTGATTTCCTCCTCCATACATCCCCCTGTCACTTCCAGCATCTCGGTACTCCAGACCCAAGGCTGAGTCAGATCCTGGGGAGTCTTCCCTGATGAAAATGCACAAGTTCAAAAATAAAAACAATTGCATGAAAACAATACAACTCCAACACTTCCAGTTCAGGAAGCTTAGTGACCGGAGGATGCTCTGCTTAAACAATTAGGCTCCTTATCCCGTCAGTGCGTCTGAGGGACAAGCCAACCACTTAAGCTACGATTATCTTAAAACTGTCCAAGTCAGCTGCTTGTCTGACACTGCAGGAATTTAAAGAGCTGAGCAGTAGATAAGCAGGCAGTGGAGCAGCAGCCCTGTTCTCCCTGCCCTGCGAGGAGAGCTCCATGAGTTCGTCTGACGGTAAGGATAACTTCATCTTATTAATAAACACAGGGGTTGAAAATGCCAGGGGGTGATCTACCTTTAGGTATATTTCCATCCCTCAAACTTACTGTGGTTTGCTTTTTGTATTTGTTCTTGTCTAGCAATGTATGCATTAAAATATTTTATATCTTTAGTGGGGAAGATAGAGAGGAATGTTTAAAATCTCAACTCATAAAATATGTGGAGACAGAGTATTCTTAAAAATTGTTGTCTTCATGTTGAAGAGTCAGATTTGTCTGAGTATGGTATTTCCTACTGTCTTTAAGTTTTAAAAAATTACTATAGTCCAGAAGAAGACAGGGGTTGCCTGTGTGTTTCCAAGACTCCTTTGCATCCTATTCCTCCGCTGGTCCCGCTGCAGTTCAGGTTTCTCATGTTAAGGCCCATCCTCTTCCTGATGTGAGCTGATTCATGCACTGGCCAGTGTCTGTGATGTGAAAGTGGGCAGGGCTGGTGTGGGGTACAAGCTCAGAGACCTTCTAGGAGTTGCCTTCTGGTGTGAGTTGGTGTTTAGGACTGACCATCTTTTATTCTTGTCTAGTAGCGGTTTTCTTGTCATCACACCCACCCCAAAGGACTTCTTGTTTTCTAAACTGGGAATTAACACTTGTGGGTGCCTTTCTTAGAGAACAGTATTTATGCAGTGAAATACAGCAGGTACCATCTTCATATTTTCTTCATCCTCATACCTGAAAGTGGCATTTGAACCCAAGTGAAGCCATTCTGGGTGACAGATGTCGAGACACAACTTTCCTTTGCACCGTGTACACAGGGATTTTGGGAAGAGTCAGTTTACAGCATAAGCTGCAGAGAGGGTCTGTCACCCTTGCACACAGGGGCCGTGCTCGGAGCTGCAGAAAGCTGGGGAAGGTGGTTTTGCCTGCAGGTCTTTTCATGTGTTGTCTTTGTCCGCGCTGACGTGGATTGTCCCTTAGGCTGAACCCTCTTAGGCTGGAGCAGATGGTCTGGCTCCGTGAGGGCTCCCCACACGTTGCCTGTGTCGTGTGTTAGTGGCAGGACATGTGCAGGAGCACAAAGCTCGTTAGGGGCTCTGCTTGGGCAGAGGTATTAAAGGCTCCTGGCGTAAGCAGGCAAGAGACAACCCTGTTGTCATTCTGATAATGACCAGCTGAGTTGCACTGAGTGATTGTGTGTGTCACTCATGTCTGTTTGTGGTCTGGAAACAATTTGTTAGTCCTCTGCCAACATAAGAAACTACTTTGAATCCCATTTCCCCTTATAGACTCTTATTTTTGCATTAAACATGTGGTTTTTTCATCCTTGTATACATTCATCTAAATATTTCCTTTTTGTGGAGTGTTTATCCTCGTTGTCAAAAAAGCTGTTTTAAAAGGAAAAAAGGACTGTGAGAAGCACTTAGGGATGTCACACACATATTTACAGTGTGTCCTGAGGATGGGATGTCACACAAGTATTTACTGTGTGTCCTGAGGATGACTGCTGAGGACTTTGGGATGAGCAGGCACAGGCTGTGGGTGCCAGGACTCGTGGGGAGATGAGCCACCAACTCTTAGCAGTTGATAATCTGTAAAAGAAATAATTTTGCAGGCTGTCATCACTGGGAAGCTCGAGGCTTCATGCAGCAAGTAGAGGCTTTTTACTAAATTGAGACATCTGTAGAGAGCTGATGGTTACAGTATTGCAGTAATATTTTCCGTGCCACCATTCCCAATTCATCAGAAATTTTTGTCTCCCCTGCAGTCCTGCTCTAAAACCATCACCACACTTAAAATGAGTAGATGGTTCCTAAAAGCTAATCTGGCCTTAAAATGGCTTGTTTGACATCCCCCTAACTGTTAAGTTTGCCTCATGCACCAGCCTCCTGGCCTGGCTTCTGCTAAGCTGCTGTGGTGCCAGAGAGGATGTCCTCACTGCAGCTCCCTCCTCCCTCAGGATGCTCCCTGTGATGGCTTAGCAGCACATGGCTGTGTGCATGAGCTCTGTCACCACAGGTTACACAGGGAGAGGAGACCTGCAAGGTGTTCTCCTTGGCTGTGGTTTCTCCCTCTGTAACTGGAAAAAGTGCTCAGTGTGTCCCCAGCTCAGAGAAGGGATCATGCAAAGGGCAGCACAGGGAGGGAGAGGCAGGAGGGATGGGAAACAGCAGGGCATGCATGGAGGTGGAAGTGAAGAAAAATGCTCAGGATCTCTGCCAAAGAAAGCTGTAAGCTTGGTCAGGTCCTGCTGGCTCAAGCTGAGAATAGCAAAGGTTAGTTCAGACAAATCTTCCCAGTGTCAATAAATAAGATTTTGCCCATCTGGGCAATGCACACAGTGGTTTTTACTTGGCTGGCTCTTGAAAAAGCTCATCTTCCTCTCCTTCCACCCAAGTTAAGAGGTGCAAGTCCCGCCTTTTACAGTTCTGTTTCCTCCCTTCCTCCAGCAGCAAGAAATCAGGCAGGAGTGATGAGCTACCTGGATGAAGTTCCCTTCAGGATGGCCCTGAGCCTCGACGGGGACTCAGGGGGAGAAATCCCCTTAATCACCACCCCGGACATCGAGGTCCCCGACTGCACCGACATCCTCATGAGCACCATGGTGAGTCCACACCCAGATCACTGCTGGGGGATGCTCAGAGGGATGTCAGTGGTGCTTTCCTTTTCTTAGGAGAGAAGGGGCACATCCTAGTTGATCTCCTCTTACTCGACTGGTTTGCAGCAGTATTGGGAGGAGAGGATGATTTGTGATATGTGGAACTGAGGAAGGAGTTGTTTTGGGGTTATCTTTTAAAAATCCTGTCCAAGCAGGAGGCTTGGGTCTTTCTGGCATAGGAGGACAAACTTCTGCTCTGGGGTTGTTTTCTACTTTGGAATTATCACTGTCTCATTTATTAATAATATTTATTAAATATCAATAATTTTAACAGATATAAGCAGGCAACATTACCTGTACTGACAGCATATGCAAAATTTATATATGTATGTAAGTTTTTATATATATACACATATTTATACATGTATATAAATTTTTATATATATATGTATATAAAGTATCCCGTGTTTCTCCCTAGTTGGGATGCATTGATGCTCCCCGCCAAGGCCAAGCAAGATTGTGCTGCTGCTTCAGGCTGATCCTTCTGGAGGGACGTGGGGGTGTTTTCCTTAGGGAGGCTGTTTTGGGTCCACAGATGACCCAAGTGGCAGGAGCAGTAAAAACAGCATTCCTGGGCTGTGAATGTACTTGCCTGCCTGTCCGGAGGAGACCTTGTTTGGAGAGCTCTGGGACGGGCAAGGCTTGTTTGTTCCAGGAAAATCCTCAGATTTCAGTCACAAACAAGCTTATATTTTAAGACAGACTATGTGGAAATGACAACTCTGTTTGGGGACCAGCCGAGCCCCTGGCGCCACAAGAGACTCCCATGGCTGGTCCTGCTGCTGCCTGAGGTGGCATCACCCTCCCTGGTGGCTCCAGAGCCCCTGTGCCTGAAGTGCCACTAATGAGAGCCACAAACAAACTTTGCCACCACCCTGGGGGCAGCCTGTGGCTGGATGCAGTGCCTCTCTGCAGCTGCCTAAAATTGGGATGCCCACATCCCCTGTCTGCACCCTCCCACCTTCCACAGCAGTCAAAGTGACACAAAACCACCTCTAAGTATAAAACACTTCTCAAAAGAATTGTAGGTACAACTCACAATAGTAATAACTTTATACAGGGACTTTTTTCAAGTGTAAATTTGGGGATTTCCTATAGGGATGAGGCTGGCACAGCCCAATCCTACAGCCAGCCCTGATCAGGGAAGTAGGATCTGATATGGGAAGGCTGCAGCCCTTAAGCTGCCTTGCAAAGTGAGTGGTTTGCTCGGTGCCAGGTGGTCTGGTTTCAGGTGTCCTCACCAGCTGCCTCTCGCTCTTCCACAGCACGACTTCTCCCTGGAAAGGAAAGTGCTTTACTGGGTCGAGGTGGCCTCTCAGCAGCAAACCTGCCGGCACCGGGTCACCTCCGAGGTCGTCCCCACGGCCCCGCCGTGCTGGCTGCTGCTGGTGGCCCCCGCCGACAGCTACGGGGGCCGGGCGCGGGACGCGGCGGTGCGGCGATCCATCAGCATGAGCGCCGCCGACACCTCCTACGGGCACGCCAGGGGCAGGGCGGGCCTGTCCGACACTGAGAGTGAGACCTGGCACTCGGAGGAGGGCGACTACTCGGACGATGAGTACTCCTCGACCTCCCTGGAGGAGAATGACAAGGATGAAAAGCTCCTCTCCAGGAGGAGAAGCTCTGGGAGAAGCGTGGCTTCACGTCTCAGCTTTTACCAGACTCGACCAAAGACATCGCCTGGCTTGCTGGAGCCCTCACCAGAGAACAATGTCCACAGCCCAGCCAGCCCGGACCCCAGCAAGCAGAGAAGATCCATGGTGATATTTAACAACATGAAGAATGAGCTGGAGGCAGCCAGGAGGAAGCTGGCTGCTCTGGTGCATCCTTTGAACAGAGCTGCCACGGGGGGCAGGGGCATCCCGGTGCCACGGCTGCTCCCACAGTGTCCCGGCGCCAACCGTGGTGTCAAGTACGGGCCAGCCCAGGACGTGTCCCAGCTGGGGACCTTGGTGCCAACTCCTCCAGCCACACCTGCACCAATCCCACCCATCAAGCGGCACAAACCCACAGTGCCGGTGAGCTGCTGCCTTTGCTTGGTGCTGAGAGAGGAGGGAGGTGGAGGGCGTTGAATTGGTCTCATTTGGGCAGCAAAATGGATTCAAAATGAGACTTCAGGAACACTGGACCCATGAGAAATTACTGATGAGTTTTCATAAGAAGTGAAGGCAGGGTTTCTTTTTTCCTCTGAGGTTGTGCATGTTTACTTGCTCTGTCCTAGTCAAAACACCCCTGTTTTTCCCAAGAAGCAAGATCTTATTTGATTATCAATTGAAACACTAAAAAAAAAAAAAGAGTGAAATAACAGGGGTTTTCCCCTCTTTTCTCTCTATGACCCCCCTCTTACAGATATAGGTGGGGTTTATAGGGAAATACTCCTTTACAGCCATCATATCTTTTCTAGGAAACTTTGGACTTCATAGTCCTACTAAAAATACAAATCATTGGTGAAAGAGGGATGTGACAAGATGGAGTAAATATCACTCTGTCACCTTGAATCTGAATTGCACCATGTTTTTTAAGAAATCACATCTCATCCAGCTACTTGAGAGATTTTAGGAGATGAATTACTGAAAAGCTACAATTAAAACCATTGGACACATGAATGACCAGGTTATTTATAGGCAGTTGTACTAGACATGGGGTAATTAAGGAAAGATTAAATGCCTGTGTGTATTTGTACATCACCCAGCCTGAGCACTCTTTGATCTGATCTGTATCTATAGCTGAGCCTGGATTTAATTAAATCCAGTCTCCTTTGATGCCCATTGGATGTTTCATGTATAGGAATTTTCCTCTTCTGGAGACAGCAAGGTAACTGCCAGTGTTCAAAAGCGTTGCTTCAGCCTGGGTGTTTGACATCATCCCATGAACTGGAGCAATAAGACTCTCTTCTGTTTTTTCCTTGCAGTCCCTCAGCCCCTACACCTGCCTCCCCCCTGCCTGCACGCCTGGGAGACCCCTCAGCTCCCTCAGATCCCAGCCGGATTCCTCGGCTGACCTGCTCTCCGCTCTGAGCCAAGAGGAGCGAGACCTCATCGAGCCCGTCATAGCCCTGGGCTACCCCACGCACAAAGCCATCCTCACCCTCCAGAAGACGGGAAGGCAAAGCTTAAGTCAGGTTGGTGGAGCTGGTGTGGCACCGCGGGAAACCTTGGGTAAAGGAAAACTTGATTTTCCTGGAGAAAGGAATGGCTGTCTTGTTTGAGGTGGATTTCTGATTGCCTTGGCTCTCCCACTTTGGTGTCAGACCACAGCTGACAGGCTTTTCCATGAGATCACACTTTTGCTGTAATAAAATAGCAATGAGTCGCCCTCAGCTTTTCAGCATGTAATCACGGCTGGTTTCGTTATCTGTTCAATCTGTTGTGTGGAGCTTCATGTCCTTCTGAGGTACAAATTTTGCCCCCATACATGGAAACTTTTTGCATATCATTTTTTCCCGGCTGTTGGATTTGTGTGATGATTACCATGGTTTATCCTGTCAGAGCAGGACTGTACGAATACCGCAAAGATTTGGCTGGGCTCTCTCCAAAACACAACTCCCTGCCTTGCAGCAAGCAGGGAATCCATGCAAGCATTGCAACGGGGTCCCAGAACTTTTTTCCTGAGGAACCCTCTATAATAACCTGGAATTTATTGAAAACAATTAACATACAGACTCTTCCTACCCCTGGTGTCTGAGTACATCCTTGCCTGCAGTGCTGCATCTCCATTCCTGAGGTCTCTGCTTGTGCAGATAGTGGTCCACAGTGGTCCAAGGGGGCCTTGGAGCATCTATGACATGAGGGATGATGCTGAATCTGACTCCCTTGGCCAAGCTTGGAGCTGGACCTGCCCATCCCAGCAGAGGATTTTAGGGCTAAATTACCCAAGTAACTCTTGCAGAAAGAGAAGGGGCTTAATTGAAACTCAGCAAGAGGGATGTCCATGAAGCTGTCATGCCAGGGAGCAGGAGCAGATCCTGGCAGAGGCACGAGCAGGCACAGTGCCAAGCAGCCTGTGCTGGGTGCCAGTCTCCTTCCCATTCCCCTGGGAACTGCCTGTGCTGTGTGGGCCAGCTCCCACCCGCCTGGTCGGTGCACAAAGCTACTCTGTGGCTGAGTCATCCTGCAGCTCCCCTCTCCCTCCTGAGTCACCCCGGCTGGACCAGCCCTCCAGACCTCGCTGGTGTTTCAGGAGAGCCGAGGTGGGAAGGGAAGATTGTGTCCTCAATTCATGGAGGTTTCATGCAGGCAGAGGGAGATGGACAGAGCCCAGCCCACATTCTTTGCACAGAGCCGTGAGAGGGTGTCTTGTGGCTTCAAAATGCAGAAACAGTGCATCTTTTTAAGGATGGAAGTGGGTACAGCCTGCTCCCTTCTGTATAAACACTGGGACTCCCATTCCCTGGGAGAAGAGATTCCTGCACCAAAATACAAGGTCTGCCTTATATCCTGTGCCTGCTTCACCAGCAGATTCCATCTTTCCCATTTATGCCCAATGCAACCAAGATAAAACGTAAAGCCTGACCTTTTGTGCATCTCTTACAAGTACAAAACTACCAAATTAGGCTAAACCTTCCTGCAAAATGTGTTCCAACTGAAGTTAAAAAGAAGAGCTGTAGGTGCTCTTCATTGCTTGCTGTGTCACGCAGGGTTTCAGTGTGTGATGACAACAGCTTCAACTCTGAGGATTGATTGTAGTACCAGATGGTAGACAAAAATTGCTCAACTTCTTTGCAGTGTCAACTCAAAACTAGCAAAGCCCACCTTGATAGAGAAGGCAAGTTTGTGGCCTTAAAGAGGCGATTCCTTCTCAGTTTTGGTGGAAGAACTTTTCTGAAAGGCTCAAGCAGGGTTAGTTGCCCTGACGTGCCAGAGGTTCATCATGTTATGGCCAAGGGCTAAACCAAAAATGCAGCATTGCATTTTGCTCAACGATCATTGATCAATTCAAAATGCATCCTTGATCCATGGAGCCCTCGATGTACCTGTGAGCTGAGACATGACAGAGGCTGCAGCTGCTCAGCACCCATCTCCCCAGGCAGCTGTAGGCACAGGGCAACAGCGTTAAAAAACTTCTTGAGGAGAAAATTATAAAAAACATTGAGTTGACAATGGCATCGATTTCATGCTGGGCTTGACCAGGCTGCCAGGACTGTCTGTGTTGTGCCATGAGTGAGCAGCTATTCCTGCCACAACAGAGCAAGAAAATACAGCAATGAGTTGGGGTTGTCACTGGTCAGGTAATGAGGGAAATAAAATCAGGTTAGGAATGCCAGTGACCAGTGACTGTCTCCTCCCTGAGCTGCTCCTTAAGGCTGACATTTCTAAAAATCCTTACTCTGCTGTTCAGCCAAACTAGATCAGCTCAACATTTGAGGGACTTTTTTGCCTTTTTCATGTGTTTTGTGGTCTTTTACTGAGTCCTTCCCCTTGGCTAGGGCAGTGCTGGGGAGGGTGGAGGTCTATGCACTGGTGGATCTGGGGAAGATATGAATCAGTTTGTCCTTGGATGAAGATGGCACAGCTCTGGGGAGACCCATGGGATGTTTTTATTCCCCCTGCTATTGTATAGCTCATTTATTATTGTCTGTCCCATATGTTTTTGGACAGTGAGTGGTTCTCGCGGTGTTTAAAAGATACTGCTGGGAATTGTGCTGTCAGCACTCCAAGAACAACGAGGAAAGCCAAAAATAACTGTTTACTTTCAGTAATGGCAGCACACGGGTCTCCCCTGGGGTAGGTTTTGCGCTCGGACCCTGGAGCAAACCCAGGGGTGCCTGAACCCCGGAGCATCAAAGGGATGTGGGGTTGGCTGAGGGGGGACATCCCACGGGGACAGGCTCTGCCTCACCCACAGCCTGGAGGCCATTGCTCTGTATCTCAGAGGTTCAGATGTTTGGTTTGCTCCTCATCCTCCCTCTGCCTTGTTCCCATTCCCACCCTGGGAGGGTGAGGGGGACCAAGATGTTGTCATCTCCCACTGGGAATCATGTGGACAGACAGACCACCCTGGCTGAGCATCAGATGGGAACCAGCAATGGTGGGTTGCTCATGTCCTCCCCATGGTGTGTGCCTGGTTGGTGTCAAGGTGGGCTCCTGTTTGCCCTCACTCCCTGTGCCAGCAAGGCTGGATTAACCTGGTTGTCTTCCTCTGCAGTTCCTGAGCTACCTGGGTGCCTGTGACCGGCTGCTGAAGCAGGGCTACGAGGAAGGGCAGGTGGAGGAGGCCATGGAAATGTTCCAGTACTCGGAGAAAAAGGTCAGAGTGGGATGGCAGAACCCAGCCCTTTGTGCTGTGTCCTCCGGGCTCGCTTTTCCAGCAGGCTGTACCCTTCCCTCCACTTCCACTGCCCCTCATGGGGGTCAGACCCACTGCCCTGCCACCAGCAGGACCCCCATAAGGACCCTCTGGGAAAGGACACCTGCTCCATCCCCTTTTCCATCCATCCTCTCACCCTGTTGTGCAGCACGATGCTTGTTCACCTGCTGTGCAGGGAATCCTGTCCCAAGCCCACCAACACCTGCTCTTGCTCCCTCTCTCCCAGCTCTCCTCCAGGGAGAAAAACTGTGGTGACACACTGGGAATTGGTCTCCATCATCAGTCTCTTCCCGGGTAATGAAGAGCCTGGGGAGGTGAAACTGCTTGAAGTCTGGGCTGGCAGTGTTTGCTGGGATGCCAACAACCCATAGGATTGTCGTGTCACTGCTCATTAGGGCAGTGACAGTGGGGGCTGCCCAGGTCTCGGTGTCAGGGAAGGTTTATTTATTGAGGACACAGCTCTAGGTGATGTCATGGCACTGGGGCCCAGCCTGAGCAAGGAGGGAAGCAGGACAAATGAATTCCAGCTTGTGCTCACTGCCTCTCCCTGCCCTCTTTATAATGCAGACAAACACTGCATGGAATTGATACAAACTTTATAAGGAATAAGTGAAGCTGGAGGCTGACTTTATTAAATATTTCTTATTTAAGAAGTTGAAATGCTACCAGGGGTGTGTGTGTCCTCGGGCTGCTGTTGTGGTGCCCTTTGGCGGTGACAAAACCCAGCCAGGGCGTCTGGCTGCTGCCTTGTCCCACAGCACTGCTTCTGCTGCAACCCCACGATGGATCCATCCATGATAACATCATTCCCCTCTCTTCCTTCTTCCTCCAGGCAGCTGAATTCTTGCATCTGTTGGCTCAGTTTAACGATATGGGTTTCCAGCAAAATGAAATCAAAGAAGTTCTTTTGCTCTGTGGGAATCAGAGGGAGAGGGCGCTGGAAGAGCTCGTGATGAAAACCCACTGAGCAGCACCCTGGACCCATCACAGCTTCCCCTCTCCAGACTGCACCAGAAGCACTCAGGTGGTTCTGCTGCTCCATCCCCACCCCTGGAAACAACCCATCACAGACCTTCACAGCTCTTCCTTGGTGTCTCATCTCATTTTATGGACATCCATCATAAGAGTGTTTATCATTCAGGCACCGACTTCATAGGAGGAATATTTGTCTCCTCACCCACACATCCCCACCCTGATCATCTCAGCTGTTCAGATTAGATGAAATAAGATCCAAACCGCCTTCGGCTTAGATTTTTGCAAAACCCAAACCACAGTGTTCTCCCTCCACCTGGGGTGATGGGTGTCATGTTTTCAGCTACAATCAAATGTGGATTCTTAAGAGATTATATAAATCATCAGAAGAAATTGTTTTCCTAAAATCTGAAGGAACATGTGTTGGTCCTGGCTTGGTAAGAGTCTCAGCTGACTTAGTCATGATTGAATATTGTAATTGAAATCCAATTTGATCACATTAGCTTCTCCTTTTAAACCAGAAATGTGATAAAAATACACAATTCCATGAAGGTAAGGAAAGAAAACAGGCTGCCCTTGCTCTGAAATACATGAGGTTGAATGCAAAATGGTGGAGGTAGGAGTTTGTCCTCAGGGAACTTCCTGAAATCAGAACAGAGAGATGGGGAACTGCTCATTGGCCTCATGCTCTGCCCAAATCAGGAAAATTCAGGGGATGTTTCCCTAAACTGTGAAGACAGTGGCTCCAAATGAAGTTAAGCATGAAAGTCAGCATCGGGAACATCTGGATGCTCGGGGGAATTTCTGTATGCAACTGAAGGACAGAGAATGGGATGTGTGTCTTGGTTTGGCACTGGAACAGTGGACAGTGTTTTCACATAAAGTATGTTATTTTCCTGTGAATTAGATACAGATGTAATTTCTTTGAGTAAAGATGCTTGGGGGGTTCTTCTGCAATGTGTTTGTGTCTTTTCCTGTCAGGATGCCAACTGGCACAACCCAGCAGAGAAAATCCTTCGTTAGTTGCATTAGTACCATTTTTCCATTGTATCCTTCCAAATAATCTCTCAGTCTAACATACTACCATTGAGGTAAAACACTGTGTCCCTTCTCCCTGGATCTCCAGGTGGATGCCAAACACCAGCAGGAAGGTACATCTCTCCACGGCTGCCTTCATTCTTGCCTGGATGGACAAGGAAACTTGGCATCCAAGTTTTGGGGGACTTGACCCATTCATTTCCAAGGAAGCTTTTTTCCTGCCCTTCTTTAATGGCATTGAAACAGAAAATGTGGTACCTTGTGTGACCAAGGGAGATATCCCCGAGGAGCTCACAGGCTCCTCCTGAATCTCCCAGCCCTGTTTTTGCTCCAGCTTTCCCTTGGTTATACAAGCTTTTATTTTTGATGTGGCCCTTATAAGGCAAGTCCGTTCTACAGACAGCTTTTCCTTACGTCCTCTCTTGCCAAGATGATGTCACCTTAAAAAAGAAACTTGAAAAAGGTTAAACTGTGATTAGGACGATCGTGTCGCCTGGAACTGTGATCTTTGGCGGAACGAACCCCTGAGGATGGAGAGGGGGAGATAAAGGTGCTGAGCTGGTGCCAGCAGCATGAAACGTTGAGGGCTGAATTCTGGTGGCAGCGTCGTGCCCACAAAGGCTGAGCAGCCTCTCACCCTCCTTAGAGGAGCCTCCTTGACCCTGGCTCATCATTTCTTGCCGAGGTAAGAGCTGTATCTTTTGTGCTCCCTTTGCACCTAAAATTATCTTGTGTTACTCTCTGTATCACGGTCTGGATTGATGGATGCAATAAATGACTCCTCTCTTGGGTTATCCATGCCATACTCAACAGCCTGCCAAGACCTGCACTTTCCCCTAAGTGCTGCACTTAAAATCTTCTGCATTTTGTCTACAAATATCTTTGTAAACCCCTGAACTGTCGAAAAAACAGCGTGTGGAGGTGGGGAGGAGGTTGTATCACTTGGTGTTGGAGTTGGAGGGAAGGGGAGAGCCTGCCAAGTTCAGCAGTCCAGGGTTGGCCACAGGAGCCCAACATAAATATTTTACTAACAGAATTATTTTAACTTTATTTTAATGGAGGTTTAAGCTGTTTGTTCAACCTGAAATGGTTTTAAAGCAGCATGTTTCCATATGCTGCTCTCAGTTAGGAGAAGACAACCTGAAATGTTAATTGGCTTTATCTGGGAGGGGAGCGAGGATTTGACATGATGGGTTCCTGTAACGTCCTCCCAGGGACACCAACACAATTCCTCTTATGCTGCCCATGGTGCAGAGGTGGGGGAGGTCCCTCGGTGACCTCTGCCTCCCCTGTGCCACTGCCAGACCTGCACCTCCAAGGGCTATGGTCCCATCACAGGTGACAGCAGAGTGGTAGCCTGGCCCAGTGGCAGGGAACAAATGAGGACAAGGCACATCCATCTGGCCATGGTTGCAAATTGGGGTTTTCTGGTTTGTTTTGGTTTGTGGTTGCATTGAGTGGGTTTATTCTCAAATGAGGGAACTGTTTTGAAAATGCTGAGAACTTGGCGAGGGTCAGCACGGAGGTATTTGAGGCATCCTGGCTGGTATTCCCTTCAGCTCCATCCCAGCCGGGACAGCACAGCAGCCCAAAGCCTGACCCATGGATGGAAGACCAGCTGACCACAGTCTGGGTTTGCTGCTGCCCTGGTCCCCCAGCACTGCAGTCACAGAGGGGAGCTCTGTGCTCTCCAGCCACCCCCAGAGCTGGTGCTGAGGGTCAGCAACCTTCCACTCTAGGCAGTGGGATCTCATGGGAACAGCTCCTCTGGCTTTGGAGCTCTGCAAGCCTGGCATCACCATGCAATGGTGGTGCTCCCTCCCTTTTTGTACCCTCTGTACTTCCAAGTTTTGCCATGTCCTCAAAAGACCCTGACTTGGTTCAAACAAGCCTCTGACGAGAGCCAGCACTTGCCACCCCTTTGAGTCTTGCTGAGGCTTGGGAGGATGATGGATGGTTCCCAGGTCCCAGAAAACCCTCAGTGCATTAAGCACCAATGCCCAGGAGCTGCTTTTCTTTACCGCCCATCTCCCCTCCTCCTCCCAGGACCCTGCTGTGGCCATGGAGATATCCCAGGGGAGCACAGGGCTGTGTGGGAACCACACTCCCACATACGGCTCTGAAATGGAGCTGCAGCTGAAAAAGCATTCAGGGGCAGGAGTGAGTCCTGACATGGATCTCTGTTAGGAGGTATTATCCTTCAGAAGGAGGGGGGGGGAACCAAACCCAAGAGTAATGAAAATTCTGTAATGAGAAGCTTTTCTATAGGTTTCCTTTTAATTCTGAGATATAATGAATGATTCCCCATCAGGGAAGAGAGGAGGTGGAGTCCTGCACACCCTCAGAGTGTAGTCAGAATAAATAAACCCCCTGTTTGCACCTCTCTGGTACCTGTTCTCTGCAGAAGCCACGAAGCCACGCACACAGTTGGCTCATGAGCCCACGTCTGGCAGGACTTTGCACTCGTGCAGGGCAGGCAGGCACAGCAGCAACTGCCTGCAGTCCCTTCCCCTCTGGCAGGGTCTAGTGTCACCTCCAGGATCCAACATGAGGCATCCCTGGACCTGAGCACAACTCCATGGAGGAGGAGAGGAGCCCAGGGGAGCAGCAAGTGCAGAGCCATGTGCATCCTGACATGGGATGGGGGACCACCTACGTCGCGATGTCATGGTCACGTCTCGGCAGCCGCAGGAGGAAGGTCTGCAGGGAGCCACTGCGCGGGAAACCTGCTCGCTCCTTCTTCTGCTTCCAGGTCTCCTCTTCCACGGAATAGAGGAGTGTCAGCATCTTGTTGACAGTGTAGATGGTGTCCCCCCTGACAACAGCAGTGAACAGGGCTCCCTTGCTGTTCAGGAACTGCCCAGGCAGGGCCGTCCACTGCCGCGACGTCAGGTTGAAGCAGTCGATGACACAGCGCAAGAAGTCGTCGTAGGGGCCGTTGCGCATGACATAGAGGTTGTCACGGTGGGCCACCATGCAGTGCCCGTAGCTCTGGTGCCGCTTGAGCTCGGTGACGGGAAGCCACTCGTCCTGCTGGGTCTCGTACTCGTAGATGACGGTGGTGTCCAGTGGCTGCCACAGGCAAACAAAGATCTGCCCGAGGGCTTGGGCACAGGGCGCCGCCGTGCTGGGCTGCGGCAGGTCGGAGACAAACGTCCAAGTGCTGGAGGCCACATCGTACCTCTCCACGGACTTGAGTGAGATCTTCTCGTACTCCCCCCCAATGGCGTAGAGGAAGCCCTCGTGGCCCACCAGCCTGACGTCGTAGCGCAGCTGGTGAGGGCTGGGGAACTCGCTCCAGGCGTTGGCGTCAGCGTCATAGCAGAAGCTGCTCTCCACCACCTGCTTGTTGGCCCCGTAGACGCCACCCACGATGTAGATCTTATTATCCATGGTTGCCATGCCGGCTAGGAATGTGCTGGCGCTCAGTGGAAGGCAGGAGAGGGTCCTCCACGTGTTGGTCTCCTCGTCCAGGTAGCAGATGGTCCTGGACAGGTCCTCCAAGAACTCGAAGGTGGGTGTGTGGGCTCCCACTGCCACAAAGGTGCTGGGCAGGAGGGCTTCCACATAGGCCAACAGGTCATCAGAGAGGCAGTCCAGGTACTCCTCCAGCTCGGCATAGCTGTCCCTGATATAGAGAGCGGCGCAGTGGAAGAGATCCAGGAGGCCGAATATGGCAGCAGCTTGGTACAGCAGGATGCAGTTGTCGGAGTTGATGGAGTGGATCAGGTACTTGGCCAAGGGTTTTACCTGCAGGAAGGCAGCACACTCCACTGCCTGGAGGGTCTCCTCGCTGCCAAGGATGGGCCTCTCGCCCTCCAGCACCCGCAGCATGGCGAGGAACCCGGCCGCGCTCAGCTCCCCCAGCCCGATCTCCTCCTGCGTGCTCTCCCTCATGCCCGAGCGGAAGAGGGCACGGAAGTACTCACTGCTCTCCACCAGCAGGGTCTTCTCCACACAGAACGACTGCTCCTCCACCCGGATACGCACCCGCTCTGGGGGCCCTGCCCGGGAGCCTTCCTCCTCCGGGGTCATCCTCACCCAGGGGTCAGTGGCTCTTGAGGGTGGGGGAGCAGCCAATGCCCCTCTGTGCCGTGCCCCAGCACAGCCCCCTCCTGCCTCCTCCACCCTTTGATGCCTTTGCTGCGCTGCCCGATGGCCTTGTAACATAAATACCTTGGTCTAAAGATAGCTGAGCTCGTGACCGGGGCCCTTCAAAGGCATCCGCCGGGCTCAGCTGCCCACCCAAACTCAGGCAGGGCTCCAGCATCACCGGCCAGGGCTGGGCACTGCAGAAGTGCCCAGATTATCCCATGGAGTGTGCCCAGCCACTCCTGGGAAACTGGGTTTTGCTCTCCTCACTTTCGGGCATCCTCGTTGCAATGCCCTAAAGAGACGGTTCCCCATCCTAGGGAGGGCAACATATCTGCACAGCTGGGAAGAGCACATTATCACAGTATCCTATTTTATTTTCCCTTAAAAAGTGGAGTTTACGGCCACAGGGAGGTAAACAACATCAGCAAACCTTGCTGTCATCCAGCCTGGCTGTGGGAAAGGGCCTTGCCTGCCACAGGCAGGGAGAGACCTTCCTTTGTGACCCTCCCCAGGCAGGAGGCATCAACAACCCAGGCAACATCCAGCCCAGGCACAAGGAGCCATAAGCCAGGCTGTGCTTCACGTGGGGATCTCATGGTGAGGAAAATGAAGTGCAGTGACCCTTTTTCAGCAAAAAACTACCCTCTGGCCTCAGGGCTCACCTACTCCCTGTGATGCTTGGCTGTGGGCAGAGATAAACCCCTGTGACTGACATAGAGGTTGGCAGTGAAGAAAAGTGTCATTTGTGGCACATTGCTGATTTGTGTGCTATTCACAGCTTTTCATGGCTAGAAATCCCATTTCACCTCTGCCATGGGGTGCCAAGGAGAGGGCCAACAACAGGGCTCACCTGAGGGGCTGCTCCCCAGGTCTCCCCATCACCAGCTGCACCTGGTCTTTAGTTTTGGTGAATAATTGAACCTGAGAAGCCCAACACTGTTGAAGGTCTATTTTTTCCTCCCTCCTTAGCCCCTCATCCAAGCCCCCAGGAACTCTCAGGGCAGCACAGGATGGCAAAGTCACTGCCCCAGGGTCATGGCACCAGCAGGTTCCCCAAAAATCTCAGTTTAGAGGAGAAGGGAAGAGCTTTGCACTTGTGCTGCTGTCATTGATCCTCATGGATACCCAGCTTAAAATACCACATTTAGCTCTGATTGCTTTTAAGTCTCTTTGACCTGTGTCCAAAGGCGGTCTGGGAGCTGGGGGTCCCCAGAGGGGCTCTGCTTCCTGCAGGGGAGTGATCCCCATAATCCCCATCCTCTCCATCCCTGGATCTTGCAGGGACTTCTACACTCCCAGACTATTTTGGGAGGGTTTAAAAATATCCTGCCTGCATTAATGGGCAATATTCCCAATGGCGCAGCAGCCCTGGGTGGACACGGAGCAGCCCTCGCCCCCCAGCCTCGGATATGCCCCCCCCAGAAGCCCCTCAGGGCTGGCCCAGGGGCTGTATCCTGCGGTCCCGGGCACTGAGCCCCATCCCAAATGGTTCTGATCGCCATGACAACGCTGACTTCAGCCTCTGCCACCTACTCAGGCTCAGAGACACTGGGTGCTGGCTGATGGATTGGTGCGGGCACTGGTGAGTATTCCCTGGGCTCTCTTTTCCCCTTGGGATCGAGTCTTTTGGGTGGGAAAAGGGTATTTTTTTCCCCCTGCAAAGCCTCTGCTGGCAGCAGAAGGTGTCTGTGCTTAACTGCATCCGAAGGAGCCGGGCAGGTGGTGAGCAGGGTGGCTGGACAGGCAGCATAGCTCCGGAGTGCTGCTTCTGCCTGCCGGAGGTGTGATGAGTGCACTGGCCTCGGCCAGGGCAGCGGGACCAGGCTTGGGCTTGCTGGGGACATATCGAGGAGCTGGGGACACAGCGAAGTGTTAGGGGCTCAGGAAGATGCCGGGACACATCGAGGTGCCGGGACACGGTGTGGTGGCCCGGGGGTCCCTGCCGAAGCCCCGGGCAGCTCGGGGCGGTCGGGAGTGCCCTGCCGGGGGGGAACCGTCCTCGGGGTGGCCGGGGCAGCGTTGTCCAGCCCGCGGCGGGGGCGCTTTTCCTTTACAAGGAGTTTGGCCGCGAGCCCGGAGCGGGGGAGCCGCGCTCGCCTCCTCCCGCCTCATTCATCGCAGCCCCGGCCGTGCAGGGGCCGCTGCTCCCCCGGCCCCGCCATCGCCCCCGGCCAGCCCCGCGTCCCCTCCGGCCCTGGCTTTTGAGGTGGGAGGCTGTGTTTCTCTTCTCTCTCTGGGGTGTGAAGGGTGGGCGGAGGGCTGGGGGGTGGTCCCTGTATTTCGGTGGGGTGCTGGACACCAGCGTAGGATGGGGATGCCGGCCACCCTGGCTCCAGGATGCGGATGGAGAAGGGGGGATTTTCTTCCCTCGTGCTGCTGAGCCCCCTTTTGCCCAGGCTGGGGCGCCCCACGAGCCAGGCAGTGAGAAGGTACCCACCTGGCACGGCAGCGGGTGCCCCATGTTCCCCCTCGCTCTCTCCCGCAGGACCGAGGATGTCCTCGATGTTCGGCAAACCCCGAGTCAGCGCCGAGCGGCCGCCCCAGACCCCCCTCCCCGAGTGCAATGTGGCCATCCTGGGGTGCCGAGGGGCCGGCAAGTCAGGTGAGATAGGCACCCACCACCACGGGGATGGCCGGGCACAGGGGGGGCTGCGGGGGCGGCAGTGCCATGGGGGGACACCTTCCTCATCTGCCTCTTTCACTTCCTTGCAGCCCTGACTGTCAAGTTTCTAACCAAGAGGTTCATCAGCGAATATGATCCCAACTTGGGTAAGACTCTTTGTCGCCCCATGGAGTACCCTTCCCATCTCCCGTGTTTCCCACAAATATGGCATTTAGGGGGGAAAAACACCAACCTACTCAAAATTATATGAAAAACAACAAGAAGGGCTGGATTTGATCCAAACCCACTTGTAAAAACAGAGGTGAAAGCAGCGCCCTCTCTCTCTGTGGGCGCGTCCCACAGGGGAACATTGGCTCCTCTCATTGCCCTGAAGAAACCAAAAGCTGAATTCTTGGGGCTCCTTGGGGAGCTTCTGGTGCCTCCTGCTCACCCCAGGGGTGTCAGGCAAGGGAAGGGCTGGGGGAATGAGGGGGGTGCAGAGGGAGCGACCCTGGGGGCTGAGTTTTGCAGCAAGCAGTTCTGGGCATTTTTTTTCCACTCATTTGAGTAATTAATAACTATTTTTCTGGGCCTGACTCCAGGTCACAGGGAAGAACCATAAATGATTTATCGGGGACATTAGAGAGATATGGACCTTGTCCAGGAACCAACTCTGGCCCCTAATAATTCAGTGACTCTTAGGAAAGAAGGATAAATCCTTTCCTACTCGAATATTTTTGGGAATGTGTTTTCATCTTCCCACGTCAAAACCTTTCCGAAACACATCCATTAGGAGCTGGCCCAGAGAAAGCATCTTTCTCCCGGGGGAATGGCTGAACGGCTCTCCCTGCCTGTCCTGCTTCCAAAAGAAAGGGCCGTTCCTCTCTCCTGATTTATTGGGAAATAGCCCCATGTCAAGCCCCCATCTTGCTTTATCTCTTCAGGCTGAGGCTTTTAGATAAGGGCTGAGCGCTGGGCGCCTGTTGTGCTGGGCTCCTTCTTCTCTCTCCTTCTCCTGCTGGAGCCCACGCTTGTAGCACACAGGGGGAAATGAGCACTCCTAGCTGGGCTTGCCCAGCAGCATCACCACCAGTCTCCCAAAATCACATTGTCTCAGTGCGAGGCATTAGTGGAGGATGCTCCTCATCAGGGCTGAGATTGTTCCACAGCATCCCAAGCATCCAGGGCTTTGCTTGGCTTTGGAGAAGATGGGGCATCCCAGCTCATCCTCACAACCACCCTTCTCCTTGCAGAGGACACCTACACCTCGGAGGAGCTGGTGGACCAGCAGCCTGTGCTGCTGAAGGTGATGGACACGGCTGACCAGGTGAGGCACTGGGGCACTGCTGGCGTGATCCATCTGGATTATGGCTGGATCATGGCTGGACCACAGCTCAGCCGCAATTCTCACCCCCAGGATGGTCCCGAGAACTGCGAGCGATACCTGTGCTGGGCCAGCGCCTTCCTGGTCGTCTACAGCATCGAGGACAGGAGGAGTTTTGAGGGCTGCCAGCGCTACCTCGAGGTGCTCGCCCTGCACGCGCGGGGCTGCCAGCGCCACTGCCCCGTGCTCCTGCTGGGAAACAAGCTGGACATGGACCAGTACAGGTATGGGGCTGCTCCCGATGGGACAGAGCTCACAGATCCTCCCATCCTCCGGCTGGGATGCAAACCCCAAATCTGATTTTTTTTAAGGGTATTTCCACCCCTGTTAGTATTTGCCACGTCCTCCCACATCTCCGAAGTTCCTGCTCTCCTGCCCAGGGAATGATGTGTTTATTTTGAGCCTGTTGGTATTTTTCAGCGGGATGTTTTTCAGCTGCGTGGTGAGGCAGCGTCAGCACCCCTGGCAGGGCTTGAGCCAGAGGAGCCCCTCTGGACATGCCCTTCCTTTCTCTGCAGCCCTCTAGTCCTGGACTGGATGTGCCCGATGTGTTTTTCTGGCCTTTTGTGCCGCTCTGTGGTCCCTCAGGTCCCTGAGTCAGATGCGTTGCTGAACCCCCTGTGTTCCCAGCACAGAGGTGTCTCCCCATAGAGGGGTCTCCTCCCCACTTCCCAGTGCACTGCCATCACACCCACCCCCATGTCCCTGGCACACATGCCCAGCACAGGAATCTGTGTGCTTCCCCAGGGACCCACACAGCTCATTACTATGGGATTTCAGGAAAGGCTGAACTCTTTTGGACTCACATACCCTGCTTGTCTCAGAGGGTCACAAGTGAGTGCTACCCTTGTGCCCACCGGGAAGCAGGCATGGGATGCAGGGTCCACTGCCTGCACCCTTTTCAGGAGGCTGCAGTGCCCCAAGGGATCCTGCAGCCATTCCCCTCCGCTCTCGCCAGGCAGGTGCCCTCAGCCGAAGGGATGTCCCTGGCCAGCAGGTTCGGGTGCCTCTTCCACGAGGTGTCGGCGTGCCAGGACTTCACGGGGGTGCAGCACGTCTTCCACGAGGCCGTGCGGGCGGTGCGGCGCCAGGCGGAGTGGAACCCGCCCGCCCGGCCGCTCCTCATCACCGAGGACCGGCCCTGCCCGCCGGTGGCCGCGGCCCTGGCCCTGCCCACCCACCACGGCTTGGCCACCTGCACCTTCAACACCCTCTCCACCGTCAACTACAAGGAGATCCCCTCGGTGGCCCAGGCCAAGCTGGTCACCGTCAAGTCCTCGCGGGCTCAGAGCAAGAGGAAGGCTCCCACACTCACCTTGTTGAAAGGCTTCAAGATATTTTAGGACACGTCCCTGTGGGCTGTGGAGAGGGAGGTGAGAGACCCTCACCCATCCTCCTGGCTCTGCAAGGGCTGAGACCTTCTGTGATGGACTCATGGGCATCTCAGCAGCTGCTGGCAGGTGGTGGCCCTGGTCTCTGTGCCAGTGCAGAGCCAGCAGTGGCAACTTGGCAAGCAGGAGGGTGCCAAGAGTCCAACATGTTGCATTGCTCTGCCTGCCCCTGCCCAGCACTGCTGTGGTGTTTGTACCCTGTCCTGCCACTGGCACCGGGGCCAGCTCGGTTTTCCATGAAGATCCAACAGCTCCTGGAGGAGCCGGAGCCATGGGCACCACTGGGAGGGCAAGGGCGTCCCCAGGGCCCCCAGCCAGCTTGGGCACCTGGCACACAGCGACAGGAGCCCAGGAGGGGACAATTAATCATTAATCCAGCATGGAGGAACCCTTCTCGTTCATCCCACGGGTCCCTGACTGAGCAATAAGTAGGAGGAATTTTTATTTTATTTTAAATCCAAATAAAAAAGGTGCAGATACTATTTCAGCTGACTGAAGGCCTCAGGTGGCCCGAAACTGATTCCCACACAGCGACCTATGTCACACCAAAACTGCTGCTTTTTTAATCAACTTTTTACACTGTAGTGTCCCTTTCCAAAGGCTTTGCAAGGAGACGCTTCACTGACGAGGACATGGTCTGAAAAGCCTTTGTTTAAAAGACTGATGTATCTCCAAAAATGTCCTAAATTATTTCATGGCTTCTACGTGTGCCCAGTGAAGGGCATGAAAGTAATCCTGGAGCACACCAGGGTCTGCCTGTGCCCGAGCCAGGGCCAAAGGCTGGGTGTTTGGTTTCAGGTGCTCTATCAGGTTAAATGTTTTGCTTCTCCCTGGAGTTTCAGTTACTCTGCAGAGTAAAATATCCATGTGTATATTTGTACATATATCCATATATATATATATATATATATGACCTTACTGATAGAGAGAGATTCAATATGGGATTTTGATCCACCACTTTGGAAAGTATTTTAATAAAGATGATTTCTGAAAAGAATACAGTGTGGCTGTTTTCTTGATGGGAAGTGGCTGACTGCAGGACAAGCCTCCCACCTCCTACCTCCTGCCCTGGCTTAGCTCCCAGCTGTTTGCAGCACCTGAGGGAAGGGGTGAAGCTGGTGCCAGAGGGAAGGCTGGAGGCAGCCAAAACCTGCAGGGGAACATCAGCCAGGCAAGAGCTGAGCTGGAGAGGCAGGGGTTGCCTTGAGGCCAGGGCCTCTCCTCTGGGTGCAACTCTGCTGCTTTCTTCTTTTTGTCTTTTCTTTCCCCAGGCTAAACTGCATTTTTAAACTTCCATCTCTGCAAAATGAGATATTCCAATACCTTCCTCAGGGCCTACATGGTCTGACTTCAGCTGCTGCTATATGGCTTCCTCAGGCAAATTCATGTACAGGGACGTGAGGGTCCCGTCCTTCCACTGGACCACCACTTCCCCTGGTCTCTGGTTCTGGGGCACTGGCTCCTGTTTTTGTGGCTGAGCTGGACTGTATTCCTGCACAGGTATCAGGGCTTTCGTGGCATCCAGCTCAGCCTGCAGCGGGGTTTGCTCTGCGTTTCTGCTCATGAAGATCTTCCTTTTCCTGCAGGGAAGGCACAACAGGGCCATGTGGAGTGAAGCAGCAAGCCCAGCCCACTTCTGGGGGCAAGGACCCTGGTGATGGTCACAGCCTTCAATTTGCACTGTGTCCCTGGAACACACCAGGGCAAACCCCACCAGCTGCACCGTGCCAGGTAAGTGCTCTGAAGTGCTGGAGCACACACAGCTGTGGGATTCCCACTTGGAGAGCACAGTGCTCCCGATGCCAGGAGCAGCACCCAGCCAGCACTAGAGGGAGAGCTTGGCAGGCTCAGAGCATTAGCTCTTCTCTCCTCTGAAGGTGACAGCTCTGACCCAGAGGTAAGTTTTCATGCTGTAACAAACACTGAGTTGCTCCTCAGCTGCAGGGTTGTTGTGCAGCAACAGGGGAACAGCATGGAATGCTGACGGGGAAAGGCTGGGAGTCCTGCTCCAGAGCCTCTGCACTTACGGGAGGGCATCTCACACCACACAGTTATGGTCACTTCCCTCCCAGCAGCCCTGTTAGGCTGGGCAGAGCTGTGCAGACCCTTCACTGCTGAGGATCCAGGGTCAGGAGAAGAGAAGTGGCTTGTTCCAAGTGACACATCGGGAGAGCAGGGATCAGGCACAATTTTATAAGAAAATACCGTTCAAAGGGAGTTTGTCTTTGCTTTTCTCCCTATCAATCAGGGCTTGTCCTGTCCTTCCAAACCCCTGTGTCTGTCTGCCTGGGGGGGTTCAGCACACCATCACACACCAAAAGGTCCCCAGATTTTCCCATCTCACCTGTTTCGCACAATGTTAACGGTCAGGAGAGCAAGACCCAAAATGAAGGTTGCGAGGGACAGAGCAAGGACAGAGTAATTCCATGTTGAGGCTGGGGAAAGCAGAGAGGCAGCATTAGCAGGCACAGCAAAAAGTGACCCACAAAGCACAGCCAGGAATTTCCTGAGGACACCCAGGATGATCCATCCTTGACTTCACCCTTGATTGTTGTGCCTTTGACGTTGATCCTCATGGCACTGACCTCCTCATATCAATCTGCCCCCTCCACCCTGCCAAAATCACTGGTCATCCCAGACTTTTGCTCTCTTGGCAGGCTCTGCCTGGAGAGAGGCTGAATCCCTCTCTGGGAGGAGACATTATCTCGGCAAAGCTTCCTGCCTGTCTTCACCCATGGCCTGCTTCTTCTCACCAGAGGTGAGACTGAGGCTTTGTGTGTCCGGGGTAAATCCCCTCCTCCGGTAATTCCCTCAGGCATCTGTGTTAGGCAGGACAGTTAACAGCCAAGGGCTGTGTCTCAGCCCAGGAACACCAATGGCACTTACGGTCTTCTCTGCGGAAGAACCAGAGCAGCTCCTCCAGCTGTTCCTGGTCCATGCCCAGCAGAAGGGCGGCATTGCCTGCTGTGTGCTCATGCACCTGTGGGCTGGTCAGGGCAGCTGGGAAGTACCTGTTGTGCCCCGCCTTGGCTGGGGAGGAGAGAGCAGAAAGATGCAACAGTCACTCACTGCAGCCCTTCAGACAGGAGATGACCTTCCCCTTCGCTCCCAGGGTTGCCCAGCCCGTCTCTCCAATCAGGCAGAATGCAGCCCTGAGGGCACAGCCTGACCTCATCACGCACTGAGAACTGGAGAGCATTTTTGGCGCAGACCCCATTATGGTGGAGCACCAGGGTTGGAAAGACCCCAGGATGCTGAGAGGGCCTGTTCACATTCCCCAACAGTGCAGGTGTCTCTACCACTGGTCCCTGGGTGAGCAGCACTCACCGGTTTTCTCCTCGCACACGCTCCTGTCCGCAGCATCCTGCCACTGGGCCTTGAGGCCTCTCACGTCACTGAGAGCAACTCCTTTCCTGTTTGCCACCAGGTAGCTCTGGCTGGTGCCCAGAGGTGAGAGTAGAGAGTTGGAGCAGTCCCAGCTCGTGTAGCCCGTGCTGGCACAGAGACTTGTCTGCACTCTGTCAGCTCCTGACACAGAGAGGCAGCTCTGCGTGCCATGATTCACCAAAGAGTCGCCTTGCCAAGACCAGTTCTGGAAATCTGACTCTGGATTACAGTTCTCCAGTAATAAATTCCTATTTGTTGGACTGGCTTGTAAACACAGGTTGAATTTAGCATTTTTTATCAGAAAAGCTTCAGTGTCTGCAAAGAAAACAACATATGAGTGCGGCCAACCCCAAAGCACAGGACACACACACACACAGAGTGCAAATGGGAATGACACCCAGTTCGGGAACTGGGGGCAACTTTTCCCATGGCTGAGCCAGGCTGCTGCTGGTGTAAACCAAGGAAAATGGGCCCACAGAGAGAAGAAACAATATTTCCAGAAAGTTAAGGTCTTTGCACATGTGACCTACTTCACCCACACCATTATCCTCTAAGCCAGGACTCTACCTTGCAGCAGGAAAAATGGTATTAACCAGAAGATCTTCATATTTGTATATGCAGCTGGAATGGATCACACCTTCACCAGTGTCTCTTCAGTGGTGCAGATGCCTGGGAAAGAGACAAAGAAACTGAGCTGAGGGATAACCTAATTCCCCTCTCTGCTCCAGCTCTGTATCCAGAGAGGGGACCTCATGCACCCCTGCAGCTGTGGCGTGTTTTCTTCTGTGAACATGAGTCTGAGCTGCCAGGACAGGGTGCAGAAATCTGGGAGCCACTGAGGTGACAGGGAGTGGGTGTGGCACAGGATCTGCTGCCTGGGGTTGGGCCCCTTGCCGAAGTGATCCCACGAGCTGTGAACTCAGCTGCTGTGAGCCAGCCCCTCAACAAACTCTCTAAGCTTCCCTCCTTGCTCCCCTGACATGATCCATAGAGAGCACATACTTTGGACAGTGCCTACCTGCTGCCAATCCATGGATGGCAGAATAAGGGTGTGGAGATGAGGAAGTGGAGGGCTGAGCTCCAAGACAAGGCAAGGCCAGCTTGCCATTGAGGTTAGGGTGTCTCCCATCCCTCAGGGAAGCAGAAAGCTCCTCCTTGACCTTTAGTCCCTCATTTGCCAATGGCATCAATCCAGCTTTTATGGCTGCTGGTCCAAATTATTTCTTAAGCCTCCTTTGGAGGGACCTGCCCTGAGCAGGGGTTCCTGGCTGTCCACTGTGAGCTGGTGAGATGTTTAGGTGGCTCTCCCCAGCCCACGGCTCACTGGCCTCACCTGAACCATCACCCACTGGCAGGTCAATGACACCACAACACACGTGCGTCCCTCAGGCACTCTGGCCCCACAGGCCATTAATTATTATATGAATACTTTTATGGCAGTCTGATACTCTCAACTTTCACCTGCCTTTGTCGTGTGGCCTGGAGCTGTCTGAAACTGTTCCCTGGAAACTGCTCATGGCCACATTCCACCGCGCCAGGCGTGTCAACAATGCTGCTGCTGACTCCTCGGGGAAGCATTTGTCCCCTCGGTTATAGACCTAATGATTGCTACTATTTAGCCCCCATTCTCAATGTCTTCACAATTCAAAGTTCACATTTTATAGCCAGCCAGGCATGCAGGCTTGCTCCCTGCTGCCAGAAAACCACCTGCTAGCAATTCTTTGAGGAGGGGACTCTCAAGTACATACGTGGTCCACTTTGTATTTCGGAAAATGTGGGTAAACCTGCTCCCTGCAGTGAAGTGTGCCAATTACCTTCCCATCCAGGTAACCTTTAGCTTGTTCACATGGATCACCCCTCACAAAGGAGGAAATAAAGTCTTGGTGCCAATGAAAATAAGTTACAACTCAGCTACACCCTAATGAGAAGTGGCACTTGAATGTGTTAAATCTTGCTGTGCAAGGCTTCTGACTAATCATTTGCCCAAACAGAAATATTTGACAAGCATGTTGCTGATTTTCTCCTAAGGTGTTTCATAACTTGTGGGCCACCTCCCGGTGTCCATGCACAGCAGGGATGCTGGAAAGCTGCTGGAAGTACTTCACTACTTCATAAAGTAGTGACCAACTGCCAAGTCTCCCCAGAGGTGGGAGGCCAGAACTTCTCAGGTACAACACAGCAGCAGAACGGATATTTATTGTGCGTTAACAGGAAATTTAGGTAAAATACCTTAAAGGAAACTCCTGTTATTTTACCGATCTTTTACCTGTACATCACACTAACCAAACTAGTTTCATTCATCAAAGCTCCAAAACAGTGTTCTCAGGCCAGTGCATCTACCCCAGAGGAGAGCTTGAGCACAATCCAGAACTCTGCCTGCAACACCAGTTTCCCCAGCAAGGAAACAGTGAGTCTCACAATTCTGATGAGTTTGGATCTTCCAGTTTGAAAGAGAGATTTTTAAAGCCATCTCCTCCAGCCTCCCCCACACAGCTGCTCCATCCTGCTGCCCACACCCCAGTGTGGGGGAGCACTGCTCCACCAGACATGCTGGGAGAGCGTGGGGGATGTTCTTCTCCATCGCTGCCCTGCCTGCACATCTCAGCAGTGTCTCTGGCTGCTGATGGATGGGGATGAGCCCTTGGATCCAGGTCTTTGCAACTCCAAGCTGCAGACTTCGGTCTTCTATCCCTCTGGAGACATCTAAGACCCTTCTGAGGTTGCTTCCCAGCTCAGGTACAACATGGGAAGCTCAAATGAGAGAGAGCTGGTGCATTTTATGCTATATTGATATAAGTAAAGATGGGGAATAATCTTCTGGAAAGACCATCAAGCACAGCTTCTGTTAAGATGATAATGTCCCTCTGGACTCCCTGCTCAATACTCACTACACAATATGGGATGATGTATTTAGAACATATCATCAGTCTTTCCAAAAACAGTCTCCTCTTGTCATCCAGACTCTCTCTGGTGATTATCTTATCTTAACTGATGGCATTAAAATGCGTCAGTTATTCCAAATGCAGTATAAAAGTGGGATGCTCTGTCTTTGGGATTCATGGAGGATATACAATGGCACATCACGGAGATGCAAATGGATGGGTTGGTTTATAGAAGTACATTAAGCACTGAGTTCCATTACAGAACACAAGAAAAAATGTCTAATATTTAAAATATTAAAGCAAGAAGGCAGTTTGTCCTCTTTGTTAACCATTGTGAAGCCAAAAGTTAAAGAGCAAATCTGAGTTATATTATAAATTTTCCTTTGACTGCTTCCCAGGCTTTTATATGCAGGAGTTATCCCAGCCTGCTTCTCACTTGCTATCCAGTCTCTCCTTAAACAGCCTTCACTTAAAATTTCCAAGGATTTGAGCTTTCTAGCTGGAATAAATAAATAAATAAACCTTTCTTTACAGATAGCTATAAATTAACCCAGCAGCTGGTGCAGCAGGAATGCCCGTTAATCTCCACTAACTCACCAGAAACAGGCAGTTCCCAGCAGGGAGGAAGCTACATTTCTTCTTTCAGCCCTGTCATCCCAAGACGTCTCCTCCGAGCTCCCATCAGTGGTAATGTCCCTGTGGCAATGCAGTGGCAAGGTTCCCTGTCCTCCTGCTCTGGATGTGCTACGAGCTGTGATTCATTCTGCTCCTGAGTCATGTGTGAAGGCCAGTCCAACAGGTGAGGTACACTCCAACCCCTGAAGAAAACACACCTCTTTAGTGGGAGCATTTACAGTGTGAGGTGAATGACCTTTTCCCAAAGAATGAACTGTAGGAACTTCCAGCCTATTTGCTGAAGCTATTGGCACAATCAGTATTAAAAGAGCACACTGAGCAGAATGACACTCAGTAATAAGTTACCCTGGAGTTAAAGATAATGTTCACTCCGCCTGCCTCTGTCCTCATTGCATACAGGAAGCATGTCCTGATAAAGCAGATATTACCCTTTTTTTTTTTTTTTTTTTAGTGAATGGTTATTCTAAGGCTCTCAGAGTATCTTACCAGAGCAATCAACTTTGCAGGCAAAGCATGATGCACCTACCAGAGATTCTGCCATCCCTGTTTCACAGGTAGTGGCAACACCTGGCTAAGTCAATAGTCTGCTAAGAGGCTCTGCAGGCTGATGTGCTGCTTTTTGTGGCAGCCACGCTGGGAAAGGAGGATTCCTCCTCCCTGAACTACCTGGTTCATGGATGGAGCTGCACACTGTGAACCACGTGAGATGCCTCTCAGTGATGTGCTTGGGGCACACAGCTAGCACTGGTTAGCTCCAGCTTAACTGGAGATGGGCACAGTGTCCTTATATTTGTCCTGTTCTCAGCGTTTTCCTTGAAATAAAGTGTTCAAGGCCAGGTCAGATGGGGCTTGGAGCAACCTCGTCTAAGGGAAGGTGTCCCTGCCCCTGGCAAGGGTTTGGAATTAGATTATCTTTAGGGTCCCTTCCAACCCAAACCATTTTATGATTCTGTGATCTTTGGCATTGAAGTTTTGCTCCGGTGCAATTAATCCTTTGAATCCTATCTCACATCTGCATCAGAGCTTCCCTGGCTGCCCCTGTGAAATCTCATCCAGGAGACATGTACAGTCCCAAACAGATGTTTCACTGCTCAGCCTCAGCCTGGCAGCAATCAGATGGGAGCTCAGAAATGCATCCTCCAGGAAACAAGAGCTGCTCTTGCTGGGGGAGGCAGTTCCAGCTGGGACATCCCACCACACTGCAAATTGTGCTGTCTTTCCTCTTCATTTCAAGCAGGATCATTTAGAAAGTGCCATCAGAGTAGGGAAGGCTTTTCCAGTGCCCTTGTGATCTTTGCAGTGCCAGGGAAGGGGTAGAGGAACAGGCCAGCAAAAGAGGTCTCACAAGCTGCACAACCAAATCCTCTGGCTTTGGGAAAGGTGCAGAGAAGACACTTGGTCCCAGAGTAATCTCAGAGTAGAAGGATAGAGATGCTGCCCACGGTGAAGAGGTGACTGTAATGGGTGGATGGTGACCTCAAAGCCCCAGAAGGTTCCTTTTCATCCCAATTTTCTACATGGCTTGATTTATGTATCTATGTTTTAATTACAAAAAAATCATTTCCCCAAGTGCTGTGTGGAAGCTGGGCATGATGGTATAATCCACATTTTCCTAACCAAAACCAGGTGGAGAAGCCTGATCAGAGGACACAGAGTACCTGTGGCTCCTGGGACATCACAGGCACCTCTGCAGCTCCACAGTGACCACCTGGTTCCAGTCCTGCCTTGGGCTGTTTGTAGGAAAGGTGTCCAACAGCTCCTCCCATATGGGAGACCCCACATCCCTCCTGCAGCCCTTGCAAGACCAGTGTCCCCCAGGCAGTAGTGAAGCCATGGGTGGCCTCCACTTGCATCCCTGGGGTGGAGTGGTGTGGCTCAGGGACAAGCCTTGGTGCACCAGCACAGCAACTCCTGTTCCACCCATGATAACCCCCCAAAAATAGTGTCAGGATGCAGGTAAGTGGCTGAGCTGGACTCAGCGTGATGTACATGGAAATAAAAACAGTTTCCCACTGGTTAGAGTTGGCTCTTGTGCCCAGTAATCCTCTCCTTTTCCAGAGAACCATGAATGGCTTCAGGAGAAACCTCTTCAGCAAGGCTGTGAGTGTTTGATTTTTTGTCTCCCCTGACAACACTGGCACAGGTTAATGGGCAATATCTTTTTACTTCTTGGAGACACTTTCATTGTCTTGGCCAGGAAGCAAAGTGCAGATAAGATGTTGATTTGTGTTCTGCTTCCTCCTCAGATCTGTCTTCACTACTCTTGGGAAGAGCTTGTCTGACCTTGGTGTTTTAATTTTGCTTATCTTTTTTGATCCCTTCAGTGTCTTTGACCTGAAATGCCTGGTTACGGAACAACTAAACATGCAGGGTTGTGGTGTTTTTTTTTTCCATTCCATGTACAAAAGCAGAGTTCAAATGCAGCAGAAAAGCTAGATTTTTTTGTGTGTGTGAAACAATCAGATAATTGCTTTCATTTTGAAAAAAATTTATATCAAGATAAATCTTCAGTTAAAATACACGTACACTGTGTCCAAGGCATAATACTGAATAACAGGCATAATCTGTTTGAACTGTGCAGTAGTATCAGAGCCGAGGATGAATCACTTGGGAGAAAGTGTACTTGGGGAAATTTAAGTCCACCTCATAAACTCACTACAAATGTAACATTAATTACTTCATGTGTAAGTCTGGCAAAAGTTCAGCATGGAGTTACAATATTTCCAGGAGCCTTAACTACTGCCAGAAGTGAGAATTCATCTCCAGGGTTTAAGTCCCGGAGGAGCAGCAGGTGAAGCTTCACACATGGTGCTGAGGACACATTCAGTGCCTGGATCTGATACCTGGAAATGAACACCGAGCAGCAGCTGGATTCTGGGTTCAGACTCCCAGCTTTCGGGTGGCATTTGGGCCATCCAGACACACAGGTACATCCCTGGCCTTTCTGAAGTGCTGGTAATAAATCCAGGGCTTTGCCCAAGACCTCAGAGAACTGGTATTTGCTGTCACCACACAGGAAGTCTCCTTCCAGCCTTCCAGCCAGCGACTGTGCAGCACACCCCTGGAAGCCATGAGTATTTTCCAGCATCTGAGGTATTATGTGGTCAAATTTTTCAGCATCTGATATAAGGGCTGAAATTACACACTGTGCAGAACACTGCTTCCTCTCTTTAAGGGCCTGATACCCATAAGTGTCTGTGGTCACTGTGCAACAACTAATTGTCCCCTGTTTATGATAAGTCACACTGCTCACCTGCCCTTCTTCCCCATCTTCTTTCCAAGATGAACCATGCTGGGAGCTTTACTCTCTTCTCAAGCAGAAGCCATTCCTTCATCCTTGCTACCCTCTTGTTTATATTTTTTAACTATATCCTTTCATTTATGCACTGAGATGAGGCAGCTGGATTGTGGAATTGAAGACTGTACACAACCGAGCTGAGGATTTTTATGGGATTTCCAAAGTAATAGAAAATTATAAATTCTTTTGAGCAATTGATTTTTACATATTGATTAGGAAATTACCTCTGTATTTGGTAGCATATTCTCCTTTTCTCAGTGTGCAGGAACGGAAGAACCTCCGTTAGGATAGCCTGGCTCATTTTTTTCCTAACATGTAACAGCCCTTTCTCACTAGTTTTCCTGTGTTTCTACCACTGAAAATGGTGGCATCTTCAGTGTTTGAGAGAAGAAAACCATAATGATGGGCATACAGACATGAAAAAGGGAATGAATATGCACAGCATTGCTTAGTGTGGCACAAAATTTCACTTTCCTTTTTGATCCTTCTCTCATGTATCCAACATAAAATTCTACTATTCCTTTTCCAAGTAATTTACATGTTTTCACTGGCATATAGGAAATGTTTCCAGATTCTCACACTCCCTGCTGCAGAAATTCCTAGTGGCAAAGACTGTAGGATAAACTGTGATTTAGATGCGCAAGGGAATCTCTGTATGTGATTTACATTAATAGCTACACAAATAAACCATCTTCCCATGCGGGGAAAGAATGTTCTTAGCAGAATGATAAAATATTTTCATACTTATGTTATGGGAGAAGACAGTTCTTTAAGTGGTGATTCTGACCCCATAGTTTACAAGAAAACATTCTTTGAGTTATTGTCACTGTTAAAATGAAGCTGTCCATGGAGGCAGACAATGAAATCAGCTTTTCAAATGCTGTCAGAGCAGTAGCTGCGGGGTCAACACCCCTTTCTGCCCACAATGTTTTTCCACGTTATCTTTGCACTGAGGCAGCACAGACAATTCATGGTCAGGGTTACAGGGCTGTGGCCACAGTGACACTGCTTGGGAGCACCGACACTGGGGGGCTGGAGCTGTCAGAGCTGCACAGACCCCGAGGGCTGCCCTGACAGCCCCACCACCCCACACCACATTCACAGAACCACAGAGATGTCAGGGTTGGAACCACAGAGATGTCCAGTCCAACCTCCCTGCCAAGGCAGGGTCACCCAGAGCAGGTGACACAGGAACGTGTCCAGGTGGGTTCGGGATGTCTGCAGAGAGGGAGACTCCGCACCCTTCCTGGGCAGCCTGTTCCAGTGCTCTGCCACCCTCAACGTAAAGAAGTTCTTCCTCATGTTGAGGTGGAACTTGTTGTGTTTTTGTTTATGGCCATTGCTCCTTGTCTAGGGCACTATCGAAAGGAGTCTGAGACTAGGGGTAGCTTTGGGCACCAGAAAATCAAAAAGACATATAAGCTATTGGAGAGCATCCAAAGGAGAGCCACAAGGATGCCGAAGGGTCTGGAGGGGAAGCCACGTGAGGAGTGGCTGAGGCCATTTGGCTTGTTCAGCCTGGAGGAGACTGAGGGGCCACCTCATGGGGGTCTCCAGCACCCTCACGAGGGGCAGCGCAGGGGCAGGTACCGATCTGTTCACCCTCGTGAACAGTAACAGGACCCGAGGGAACGGCATGAAGCTGAGTCAGGGGGTGTTTAGGCTGGATATCAGGAAGAAGGTTTTCACCCAAAGGGTGGCCGGGCACTGGAACAGGCTCCCCCAGGGCAGTGCTCACAGCACCGAGCCCGAGTTCAAGAAGCGTTTGGACAACATGATGGGATTGCTGCAGCGCCCTGCGCAGGGCCAAGAGTGGGACCCGATGCCCCTGTCGTGTCCCTCGCAGCTCAGGATATTCCATAAGTGCACAGTGCACCGCCGGTGCCCACAGCCCCTCAGCGCTTGAGGGCTTGGCACCGCCCGGGGCGGTTCCCGGCGCGTCATCTCTCACGCGCGGGGAGCCCCGCGATGCGGGCCCGGCTGTCTTGCGCGCCTGGCGCGAGTGGGGCCGCCATTGGCGGGTCCTGTTTCTTCGGCACAGACCGCTTCGCCGTCACCGCCCTGCGGAGCGCTGCGGCCGCCGGGGATACCCCCCAGAGGGGGGACGGAGCTGGGGGAGGACA